TCTCGAGGATTCCACACAAATTCCGAGCACAAGCAAGCGGTCACAAGACCAGTTCACATGCAGTTTATAATAGAGCAAGACGTACAATGATCACAACCTAGCAAGAGTAAACATGCAGGTATATAAATATATAGTGATCACAGTACAGGCAAAGTCAAGAAGTGAGCAAGTGAGGCCCAGTAGGCACAAGGCCTAACAGAGTACAGAAGCGCTGATGGTCACAAGGCTGGAGTGCCTTGGTGAACACATCAGCAGTGTTGGCCTCAGTGGCCACGTAACGCAGACGAAGCTGACCGCGCTGCTGCAGCTCTCGAGCAAGGAAGTACCGCAGGGCAATGTGCTTCGTTCTGTGCTCCAGTCTGTGCTCCTCACACAAGGCAATGGCAGCCTTGTTGTCGACGTACAGCACTGGAGGAGAACGAGGACGCTCTCCGAGGTCGGTCAGCAGGTAGGTCAGCCAGCGCAGCTCCTGAGCAGCCATGGCTGTGGCGTAGATCTCAGCCTCACAACTGGAGCTGAGAACAGGAGACGAACGAGTAGAACGCCAAGAAACTGAGCCAGAGCCAAGGCTGAAGGTGTAACCCTGTGACGACCGCTGAGTAGCCTGGTCGTCTGCCCAGGAAGCGTCTGAGTGCCCTGTGAGAACAACCCGGTCTCGCCCTCCAAGCACAAGCCCCATGCCCGACGTACTGCACAAGTAGCGCAACACCCTCTTAGCAGCATCCATGTGCTCCTTCCTGTGACGGCCAGGAGCAACATAGCGTGCTAAGATACTAAGAGGGTATGCAAGGTCAGGTCGAGTGCAGGTCATCAGGTACATGAGGCAGCCCACAAGCTCTGGATACGGGCCACTCGGCTCTACGGACTCATCCGAAGGCAGAGCTGAGAGCGAGTGACCGGTAGGCAGAGGAGTGGACTGAGGCGAGGAGTACGTGAAGCGGAAGCGCTGGAGAACCTGCTGCACCATGTGTGACTGAGTCAGGGTGATGGTGCGCCGTGCTCTGTCCCGGGTGATCCGCAAGCCAAGATAGCTCGTCAGCTCACCCAGGTCTGTGCACGTGTGTCTCCTCTGCAGCTCCGACTTCACGTGGGCGAGTGCCGCGGTGTCAGCAGTGGCAAAGACCAAGTCGTCGACGTACACGAGGATGTAGAACGGCGGCAGCGAGGTGTCGGTGCGTAGAAACAGTGACGGGTCAGCAGTAGAGGGAGCGAACCCAAGAGCCGCAAGTGTCGTCCTCAGTGTGTCGTGCCACTCACGTGGCGCCTGGCGGAGACCGTAGACCGGCCGCTGAAGCCTCCACTGGGTGCCAGGAGGAACTGACCCAGTGAAGCCAGGGGGGCGGCGCAGCCAGATCTCCTCGTGCAGGCTGCCCTGCAAGAAAGCAGTGCTGAAGTCAAGAGAGTGAAGCTCGTAGTCGCGGTGAGCGGCTATGTGCAGCAGCACCCGAAGAGTAGTCATCTTCGGGGTGGGGGAGAAGGTCTGAAAGAAGTCTACTCCCTCTCGCTGACTGAAGCCTCGAGCCACGTAGCGCGCCTTGAAGACAGGCAGAGAACCCGGCGGCCGCTTCACCCTGAAAATCCACATGCCACTGACGATGTTCGCCCCAGGAGGGGGAACCTCGTCTACGTATGTGCCTGTGGACTTCCAGGAAGCCATCTCTGCGTCCATGGCTGTCTGCCACTGAGAGGAGTAGGGACCCGCCATCGCCTCAGCGTAAGAGCGTGGGGTCGGGATGTCTGGTGCATCCGGGTCTCCCTCAGGGGCAACTAGCAAGGACACGAGACGGGGCAAAGCAGCAGCAAGGCAGTGGAACTCCTCCTGTCTGTCCTCAAGGACGTCCGTGCCGAGGGCACACTCACCCCCGACGGACGGAGGACAGGCAGACGCAGACTCAGACTCAGCAACAAGGCTGGCAGCGTAGTCTAGGCGACAGCGAGCAGCAAAGTCAACCAACTCAGCGACCAGAGCAGACGCAGCAGAGGACTCAAAGGTCGGGTCAGTGACAACTGTAGCGAGGAGACGCGTAACAGTGGGACTGGCAGCACGACGGGAGTCAGACTCCGGGTCAGGAAGAGTAGGAAGAGAGGACGCAGGAGGAGACGGCAGCGGGACACGCTGCGGAGCAGTGGAGGGACGCAGAGTCATGTAGTGAGTGCCAGGGACAGGAGGAGGACGCTCACGTGGGACACGACGACCAGTGCGAGCAGTACGAACAGGCGACGCAGGACGAGACTCAGGCTCACGACGCTCTGTAAGACCTCCTGTGGGACCAGCGTAAGGAGAGGGAGCAGGGAGAGGCGAGGCAGGCGGTAACTGTGACTGCGGCTGGACAGGCAGAGGACACTCGACGGAGGGAGGAGGACTAGGAGGAGGAGCCTGACCAAGAACCTGCTGAAGGAGCGGTACGAAGTACGGTCGCGGCCGCGCAGCGTCTCCAGAAGCAGCAGGGACACCAGTGGCAGCCCCAACGCCCGGGTCCTCAGCACCAGTAGGAGCTCCAACGCCCGAGTCCTCAGCACCAGCAGTAGCGCCACCGGTCGGGTCCTCAGCACCAGCAGCAGGGCCACCGGTCAGGTCCTCAGCACCAGCAGCAGCGCCACCGGTCGGGTCCTCAGCACCAGCAGCAGGGCCACCGGTCAGGTCCTCAGCACCAGCAGCAGCGCCACCGGTCGGGTCCTCAGCACCAGCAGTAGCTCCAACGCCCGGGTCCTCAGCACCAGCAGCAGCTCCAGCCCCCGGGTCCTCAGCACCAGCAGCAGCTCCAGCGTCCGGGTCCTCAGCACCAGCAACAGCACCACCGCTCGGGTCCGCAGCACCAGGAGCACCACTACGAAGACTGCAGCGCCGCGTGTACCACTCGCGGATCACCTGAATGGGGGGGAGCTCCTGGGGAGGAGGGGAAGTACCGGGACGAGCTCCAGAAGCACCTCTCCGGAGGCGGCAGTACTCGAGGTACCTCTCCTGCAGCTGCTGGGAGGAGAGGGCTCCTCCAGGTGGAGCACGCTCAGGCTCAGCACCCCCAGACCCAGCACCCCCAGACTCAGCACCCCCAGACTCAGCACGTCCAGACTCAGCACCCCCAGGCTCAGTACCTCCAGGCTCCGTACCTCCAGGCTCCGCACCTCCAGGCTCCGCACCTCCAGGCCCAGCACCCCCAGGCTCCGCACCTCCAGGCTCAGCACCCCCAGGCTCCGCACCCTCAGACGCAGCACTCCCAGGCTCAGCACCCCCAGACGCAGGACGCGACTCAACAGCTACCTCGACAGGCTCACCCGGGTCTACCTGGGACACACCTGAGGGAGCGGCACCCTGAGGGGGGAGGGGGTCTGGTACCTCAGCACCTGGAGCGAGGAAGAGAGGTGGGGGGGGGAGCGGGGCAGTGCGGTAGGGGAAGAGGCGGTAGAAGGGGACGGACTCGTCAAAAGTGACGTCCTGAGAGGCCAGAACCCGGCGCGAGGTGACGTGGTAAAACTGCCATCCAGGCGCGTCGGGAACAAAGCCAAGAAAGACACAGGGAACAGCGCGACGCGAGAGCTTGTCCGCGGACGTGTCGCGGACAAAAGCTCGAGATCCCCAGACCCGGAAACGCGACGCATCGCCAACCTCTCCCGTCCACCGTAGAGTCGGGGAAGTCTCCGGCAAGGAGACACGGGGCCAGAGGTTGAGCTGATGCGCTGCGTACCGGACCGCAAACGGCCACAGAAAGTGGGGAGCAGCCGCATGGGTCAGGGAGGTACGAGCGACCTCCATGACCAAGCCAATGCGGCGCTCAGCGACCCCATTCTGCTGTGGAGAGGCCGGAAGCGTGAACGACTGCTCAATGCCGTGCTCAGCACAGTAGGCTGCCAAGAGGTCGGAGGCGAACTCACCACCTCTGTCAGAGTGCAAGCGCAGGACAGGAAAGTCCGAGTGAAAGCGCTTGCCTAGCTGGAGACGGGCTCGGCTGATCCAGGGGATCAAAACACCAGGGACGTCACCCTTGGCGCGCAAGGGGAAGACCGTGGTGTAGCGCGAGTAGTCGTCAACAACTATCAGGAAGTACCTCTCCTGACCCTGACCACGGACGCGGGCTGGGCCCCACACGTCCATGTGGAGCGTCTGCAAGGGAGCAGTCGTCGGGGGAAAGGAGGAGGAGTGAGGAGCGGCGCGCTGCCGCCCCTCGACACAGGGAATGCAGTCAGGAGCAGGGGAGGCGGGAAGGGGAGGGAGCACCCTGGGAAGACCAGCAACAAGGTCCCGTTTGTGCATGGCCCGAAGGCGCTGCACAGACGGGTGACCAAGGCGGTGGTGCCAGAGGACAGTCTCATGCGCCAGAGAGCGACATGAGCAGGGGGCGGACAGCTGACCTGACGCAGACGCAGACGCAGCTACCTGAGGGGACTCAGTGGTCAGTGTGTACAGGTCCGACCCCGGCTCCCGAGTGAAAGTAGCCAGGTGGCGGCCCGTCCGAGCACACGTGCAATGTGTCACACGCTCGTAGGCAGGGGTGAACTGGTGAACACCCCCGTCCTGCAGAGCACAGCCCGCCACCAAGTTCGTAGAGAACGAGGGGAGGTAGAGACCTGAGAGCGTGCCGGACGGAACCGCTGGACACGGAAGTGTAGTGGAGGAGGTCGCAATGACCGGACCCCCAGAGGGGTCAGCAAGAGAGACAGCAACCGGCCGAGCTAGTGGCTCAAGGACAGTGCGGTCACGAAAGAAAGAGCGAGAAGCACCTGAGTCCAGTGTGAAGGTGTGCAGTGCTGCAGTCGACTCAGTACCAGGGGGCACAGACGCACTAGCACCTAGGGCAGCTGCTGCAGCAGGACCTGTGGGAGCAGACACACTAGCACCTAGAGCAGCAGCTGGGCTGGCCTGAATGCCCGGGTCGGGCGGAACACACAAGTACTGAGCACCCTCTCCACTAATAGACATCGCATACATAGCAGTGAGAATAGCATCAAAGTCTAAAGCCCAGATATCAACACCCTTCTTTTCCAGCTCAGGCCAGCGGGGGAGCTCAGTAGACCCAGGAAACTGGGTGCGCCACGCGTCAGTCAGGCGCTGGAAGCAGCGCTGTGTGGGGTGCGGCCTCCCACATGGCTGGCCAGTGCGGTCACCAGTGCGGATGACGTACGTGCAAGTGTACCCACGCTGCGCGTACCACTCACGGGCGGCCTGGAGGGTCGGGGCGTGCTGCTGACTCTGGCCACCTCCAGCGTCTCCACGGCCACCACCGCCACCGCCACCGCCACCGCCACCGCCACCGCCACCGCTGCCACGGCCACGACCGCCACCGCCGCCGCTGCCACCTCCGCCTCTGCCACCACCCCCGCCGCCGCTGTCACCACCCCCACTGCCGCCACTAGCCTCTCCAGACCCACCGCCACCTCCACTGTCTCCACCCCCGCCTCCCCCGCCTCCACCCCCACCCTTGCCCCCCCTGCTCTTGCGGCGCCCGCTCGAAGCAGACGCAGCCCCGACCTTCTCAGCACCAAGGAGGTCGACAGCAGCAGCAGTGGCGACAGAGGGGAGAAGGGGGGAAGGGGAACACCCCTCGAAGAAGGGGGTGCGGGGCTCGCCACGAGAGGCACCTACGGCGACGATGCTCGCCTCAGCTGCAAGTAGGTCCTTCTCGAGGAGGGCAATGGTGAGCTCAGTAGGGGAGCGAGCTAGAAAGGAGTCCCTGACTGAGCGCAGAGAGTCAGGGAGGCGGGTGACAATGTGGTAGAGAGTGAGCCAGAGCGGGGGGGGGTTGCTAGCAAGGAACTCGGCAGGCATAGCAGCGCGAAAACGGGCCTCACTAGTCTTGAGGTGGGTGATGAGATCAGCGACAGTGTGAAAGGAGGCCAGGTCGGGGAACAGGTAGGGCAGGGAGAGGCGGCCTAGGGTGGCAGACGCAGGCGAGGAGTAGCGAGCAACTACGGCTGTGTACAGTTCCTTAGCAGTCTTGCACTGGCCGAAGTGCTCGCGCTCATCTAGCGGCAGGGAGTTGCGGATAGCAAAGCGAGCGTGTGCGTCGCGGGTCTGCCACTGGGAGCGCAGTGTGCTAGCAGCAGAGGAGTCAGGGGCAGTAGCATGGCCTAGGGCGTGGTCGTACAGTGAAATGTCTTCCTTGGCAGTGAGCTGTAGGAAAAGGTGCAGATCATCGAGCCAGGTGTCAAATTTCACTGGGCGGCCCTCAGCGTCGAAGGCTAGAACAGGAGCAGTAGCCATGGTAGCAGGAGGAGGAAAAGTAAGTAATAAACGTGGTAGTGACAGTAGCAGCAGGGCAAGGCAGGGCCGGGGCAGTCGCGACAGCGGCGGCAGTTGCTGCAGGTTCGGCTAGAGTAGGGACTGCAGGGCCGGCGGCGGCCGATGGAGTAGATTCGACGGTTGCGGCTGCTGCAGGATCGGCGGCGGCTGCTGCTGCTGGGTCGGCGGCGGCTGCTGCTGCAGAGGCAGCAGCGGTTGATGCTGCTGTAGTTGCGGCGGCCGCTGCTGTAGATTGCGGCGGCTGCTGCTGCCGTAGATGCGGCGGCGGCCGCTGTTGTAGATGATGCGGCAGCTGCTGCTGCTGTAGATGCAGTGGCGGCTGCTGCAGAAGGTGCGGCGGCTGCTGCTGCTGTAGATGCAGCGGCGGCTGCTGCTGTTGTAGCTGCAGCGGCGGCAGCTGCAGTAGATGCGGCGGCCGCGGCAGGAGAGGCGGCGGCGGCTGCTGCAGCAGTTGCGACGGCCGCGACTGCAGTCTCTGCCGCGGCTGTTGCTGCAGGCCCGACCGCGGCGACGAAGGCGCGGGGGGGTCGAGCGCAGCACACAAGGCGCGCGGGCAGCGCGACGGGCCGCGCGCGAAGAAAAATAACAGCGCGCGCCGGCGGCGAGCTAACCGCGCGCGAAAAATGGCCGCGCGCGGGCTGCTGGCTGGTCGCGCGCACGAAATAGGCCGCGCGCGGGCGGCTAGCAGATCGCGCGCGGTAAAAAAAAAGGTGGCGCACTAGGGGCGCACTAGGAGGCGCACTAGGGGCGCAATAGGAGGCGCACTAGGGGCGCTTGATAGGTATGTAGGTAGGTAGGTAGGTGGGCCCTTAAGAACGGTCCTAGGGAAGGACCTGCTCTGAAACCATGTCAAGATTACGAGACTGGAATGAATGTGACTAGGAGAAAGAGGAGTACAAATGTGAAACCCTAACTAGGTGTACCCCCTAAGGTATCACCCACTACAGGCTAGAGCAATACAAACATATAATGTTTGACAGATGTAAGTTGCGGGAGCGCGCCTCAGATTCGAAACGTATCGGGTGGATCCCACCATGTGCTGCCCGCAGCAGCTATCCAGGTACCAGGTGTTGTAGTTGTCGGTGTTGTTGTTGCGCAAAAGTAGCGCGAGTCGCGGAGTCACCAGTGTCGCCTTGTAGCGTCTGTGAAAGGATGGTCTTCATCCTACTTCCATCCTACGGGTACGCAGCGTTGATTGTCGTGTGGCGGACTTTACCGCAGTGTGATTGGCAGGTTCCAGTCTTGCTTGTCCTCATCGTACTGGTAGTAGTGGTTTTCAGTAAGGGGATGATTCCACCCTTCTTCCGGCTCAAGTAGTCCTCCTTGGAGCTCGTCTTCTTCGTCTGGTTCAGTGGTGATACAGCGCCGTGTCGCCATGTTTTCTATCACGTTTCTGGGAGCTCCCCCTTGAGTTCCTTGTGTCTGCTGTGGTTGTTGCTGCGCAGGGGGACGGGAGCGTCTTGTCGGCCGACCCAGTTGTTATGGTGAGTGGAATTCGGGTGGCGATAGTTGGATCGGGACTTGCATCGATCCGTTGAGTGTCCGAAGACTTTGCAGATTTTGCAATAGTGGCGCCTTGGTTGTCGTCGCTCTTCACGGTTGTCTGTGTAGAAGGCGAGGCGCTCTCGGCGCGGCGCGGAGCTTGTTCTGCTCGAATCCATGTCCTGCTGTTCAGTCAGCAGTGCGGCGCATAGCGCGGCTTCAGAGAGGGTTCCTCGTTGTCGGAGTAGTGCCTTGCAGGGCTTCCACTCAGGCCCAAGGCCTTGGAGAATTATGCTTTCGAAGATCTCCTCCGAGATAGAACTTCCGTTCTTTATAATTTGATCGCGGATGTTCCGACAACGGTTGATGTAACTGTTTGCTTTCTCCCCGTGCCCCATCTTGGTCTCCATGAGTTGTTGCAGGAGTCTGCTGGCAGTGACGGAATCCTTCGGCTGATATACCTCAACGAGGTGCTTCCATGCTTTTAGAGCTGGAGCGGCGCTCTCTTTGTAGGAGCGAATGCCGAGCTGTTCTGCAGGTGACATGTTGCGTAGCAAAACGCTCTACGCCATGAGGGACTCACTATAATATTGAGCCCGGGCGTCTTCGGTGTCTTCCACCGGTTTAGGATAGGAGCCGTCGAAGTAGTGGTAGATCTGCGCTGTCTGTAGGAGGAGCTCAAGCTCAAAACTCCATGTGTAGAAATCCTTGCCGTCAAATGCGGCGGTAGTCTTGATTTTTGAAACACTAAGAAGCGTGCTTGAGCAGAGTTGATTGTCTCGTCGCTTAGACGGGAGGCAGTTGTTGCAGATTTGTCTGAGTCGAGGGAGAAGCCGTGCGCGGCGGTATCACGGCATTTCGCAGCCAGTTGTCCAGGTTGAACTGGTTGGGAAGTGGTTCCCGCATCGCCTTTGCGCAAATCTTGGAGTTCTTTCTCCATAGTTGATAGTCGAGCGAATAACTGCTCGAGCGCGGCAGTGCCGATTGTTGTTGTCGCCTCATTTGTCGCAGCCGGGTTGGTTTGTCCTTCGGCCGTCAGATTCGTTTGGCCTCCGGATCCTCCGACTATCTTGGTTTTGGAGCGTGTGCCGCTCGCCAGATCTAGGTTTGGCGAATTTTACGGAAGTGATGTTGCGAAGAATCCCTTAGCAGCTCTCATACCATGTTACAATCTGAAGTGAGACTTAGTGAAAGGATCGTTCAGGGTTGATCGCAGGTTGTGTCGCAGCGGAAGTATTGAACTCAGGTCAGAGTGAATGTAAATGATTGAGATGATAATAGCATGCATACATAGGGTTTATATAGGAAGAAATGCAAAGGAATGCGAAACGACCTAGACTAGCCATGTACTCTAAGGGGTACATTCCCTTATTGCAGTGAAATTCAAACCGTGCGGCGCGGGAACCAGTTTCAAACCTGTTCCCGCTCTTTTCACTTCAAATGTTTCTGCCTGCATAGGCTTGATCAGACGGTTGCTGTGTCGCTTCGACTCTTCTGACTCCTCGTCTTCGTACTCGGTAGAGTCGGCTCCTGCAGCATACAGGAATGCCTTCTCATAAAACTTCATATCGTAACAGTTGTGATGAGGGTGGGGAGAAAGATTGGAAAGGTTATGGGAGTGGAGGGAACAACGTAAGGCTGGGAGAGGAGAAGGCGAGGATGGGAGGGGGAAGGAGGCGTGAGGGAAGGGGGGGAGAGGAAAACAAGTGAGGGCATTTGGGGGAAGTGAGCAAGCAAGAATTCATGAAGGAGGAAATGCACATCTCGGTGAGCAACAATGGCGGCAGATAGGCACAGGGAAGACGAGTGAGGGAGTGGCACAAAGCAATCGGGCACCTGAGGAAAGCACGAGGCAGCAATGAGGGTGTGCACGTGGCGGCAAGCCGCCTCCAACTCCAAATCCACCTCCTTGCCACCCTGCCCTCCGCCCTGCCCTCCGCCCTGGCCTCCGCCATGGCCTCTGCCCTGACCTGTTCCGTGTTCTTCCCCGTGTGAGAGGCCCTGGCATGTGGCAATGGCTGTGAGCTGCTCACACACGTGCAGTGCTTGCAATGTGCGGCCGCTGGTGGGGCGGGTGGATGGAGAGAGAAGGAAGGAAGGAGGGATGGGATGAGCGATGGGGTTTGGAGAGGTGGACGGGAGTGGTGAGTGGCAGACAGTGCAACGGTAAGGTGGTGCACTGAGTGCGAGGTGGTGCACTGAGTGTGAGGTGGTGCACTGAGTGTGAGGTGGTGCACTGAGTGTGAGGTGGTGCACTGAGTTTGAGGTAGTGCACTGAGTGTGAGGTGGTGCACTTAGTCTGGATGGTGCACTGAGTCTGGTGCACTGAGTGTGAGGTGGTGCACTGAGTATGAGGTGGTGCACTGAGTGTGAGGTGGTATAGTGGATGCGGATGTGAAGGGGAATTTCACCCCTGCGAGGAGTGCATATCTCCTCCTCCTTCATCAAATGCGCACAACTTGTGCACATTGTGAAAGCGGTGTTTGCATTAGTGAGATTGTTTGCATGGGTACAGATGTGGCAAAACCATTGGCTAGATGGTTGAGGGGTGGTGTTTGTGACAAAGTGAGAGAAGGACTGTAATCGCATGCAATAGTACAACACATAAAAGAGTGGTAACCATTTGTACAAGTTAACAACAAGGCACGCTGCCCAACACTGTCCGGGAAAAAACAAACCTGTTACAACCTGTGTCTTATAAAAGCACCCAACCTGTTACAACCGGGATGCTGACGAACCCAGCAAAAAGCAAAAAAACGGATACTAGCCCAGAGCACAAGGGACCCTCGGGCGACTCTACCGAGCATCAGCTGTACTGTACGCACGGTCAGGGCACTTCAGCCACTCAAGCAGAGGCGAAATCGGGCTGGGTGGCTCTTGATCAAGCACCGTGTTTTCGGTTAATCTGCGCAGCCAATGACGCACCGCCTGTACAGCACCAGGTCTTTCACATGTACACACGATGCCCGGTTGAGCCCCCCGACCTTGCCCTACCCTCTGGGCTTATAAGTGATTCTTGCATTTCGTGGAGGTTTCGTCAATTCGCGTCGGGCAAAAAGGGCTTATAACAAAATTTTGTAACTCACCGTTGACTGTTTGACTTCGGTCTCTTCAGTTTCTGTGGTTCGTATTGGTTGACGTGCTTGTAACGTGGGTGCAACTGCCCGGGAAAAAACCCACGCGTGCAAGGTTTCTGGAATGTGCAAGGCAATTTCGCGTGCAGGGGTTGGGCATCATGTGTACGGGTTGGCCGTACAACTGCAAAGAACTTCTGCGGAAGGTTTGCTCTTTGGGGAGTCTCGATTTGTCAAAACTTTTTGGCCACCCATTTTTTTAGCCAGCATCAAGCGAGCGCAAAACTCCGCTTCCTCCTCTTCGACAGGACCGGAACGCCTTCCATTCACCCCGACCTTAGACTCTCGTGGCTTTTGGGGAACCCGTTTCGCCCACCGTAGACTGCTCTCGCATAGAGCGTCTCCCCAGGCTGCTGGCGGTTGTCCGTAGGACAAAGAAATAACGTGTGTTCCACGTGCTCCTTTGAGGATGCTGGTCACCTCGGCCATGTTTCTAGATAGCTCTATGGTATTGCCCCTTGTACTTTGATTACGATCAATATATAACCTTAACCCATTTTTTTAGCCAATCAGACAGGCCCGCTTTTCATCGACTGCAAAGCACTTGGTCTACGTGAGAACCAGCTAAGACGGTACTACCCGACAAGGTGATCAGAGTGAGGGATGTGTCGCTAGTGCATGTCATGTACTGCCCAGCGCGGCGGTGACTCTTCTTCCAAAGCAGGCGGTGTGGAAAAGGGCGCGCCACCCATCGGCACCTTCCTCTCGTCTGTGGTCAGGTTGATCTTGACTTTGCGGACTACGACAACGCATCATGCTTTGTCTCATGATGAGAGGATGTGCAGCGCAGCTCCTCACCACAAAAAGCTTCATTGAACAGACCGGAGGCCTTGTCGCAACTCTTTCGTCCCTCATGCTGCGACGCAGCCCCATCCGCGCGCGCAGCTCTCGTTCCTCCCATCCGCGCGCGCGCAGCTCTCGTTCCTCCCATCCGCGCGCGCGCAGCTCTCGTTCCGAAAGAGAAAAGGTTCCTCCCCTCCGCAGGGGCGCAGCTCCCTTTTCTCCGCGGAGGTGGCACCTCCATTTCTCCCCCCCCGCCCCTCAACTCAACCCTTTTCCGACCTCTCGCGATGTTACCAGCGCATTCGCCTCACCATGATAGGCCAGCGCGTTTCCCCGCCAGTCAAGGCAGGAAGCTCCTCCCCCTTCTCCCCTTCCGCCCTCCCCCCTCCCTGGCAACGTCTGTGGCGGGAGGGGGGCGAGGGTGCAAGCCAGGGGAGTTATTGGGATTCCCTTAGCTGGAGCTGAGGGGGTTGAAGGGAGGGGGACGGGCAGTATAATAAGCCACTCGGCTCTCACTACTACACATCGCCTCTCCTTCCACTCCTCTCGTCCCGCGCCACGACTGACCCCTGCGAGGCTCATCGTCTCTCATCTCATCTGTGCGTCGTCGCTGCCAGCATTGTTGCCTGCCGCCAGTGCTTCCATTCCACCTCATCATCACCACCATGGCTTCGCACGGCATGAACGTGTCGCGCAGCTTGCGCCTCCTGCTCGCTTCATTGGCTGCTCTCATGCTCTCGGGTGGGTATGGCCTCTTGAGCAAGCCTTTCGCTACAAGCACATATTTGCAATATTTGCTGATGTCATCCGCCTCCTTCCCGTGAGCCCTCTCCTGCTTCGCTTCTCTCGCAATCTCATTCCGTTGTTCCGCTTCCGCCCCCTTTTCCCCCCACCCCGCCTCCCCACCCGTCTCCCCCATGCGCGCGCAGCCTGTGCGCCCAGGGTTGCCGCCGTGCGTCTGCCAGCTGCAAGCTACGCCGCCGACCATAAGTCAGGAGCCTAACATTACCACCGCACCGTCTCACGGACGCTCATCCCTCGTGGCACCCCTGCTTCTCACCATCACCGCTCACTGCTCCAAGCGCTACCGCTCTTTCTATCGTCCCTGCTCATCCACACTCCATTTACTCCTCTGTTGTCTTTTTGAAACACCTTAGGTTGTCAGGCGGGATCCCTCCACCTCTCATAGCTCTCCACGAATGCATGCTCCATCTCACATAAATTTTCCTTGCTCATCCCTTCCATTTCTCTCCTTTACTCCACGGTTCTTCCCTCCTGGATCTTTCTTTCTGCCCACGTTGAAAAATGTCTGTCACACTCGTGTGTGCAGCGCAACTCTCGTCATGCCTTCCTCTCCTCTCTGTTCCTTCCTGCCCAACATGCACCAGACTCGTGTGAGCAGCTCAACTGCGGCGCCCATGCGGCGTGCGTGCAGGACAGGGGCGACGCCTCCTGCGTCTGCAACGCTGGATTCGCCATGACCCCCACCGGCTGTGTTGGTGAGTGCTGCTGCTGCTGCTGCTGCTGCTGCTGCTGCTGCTGCTGCTGCTGCTGCTGCTGCTGCTGCTGCTGCTGCTGCTGCTCACTGCTGCTGCTGCTGCTCACTGCTGCTGCTGCTCACTGCTGCTGCTGCTCACTGCTGCTGCTGCTGCTCACTGCTGCTGCTGCTGCTCACTGCTGCTGCTGCTCAGTGCTGCTCTATTCGTTCCTTCACTCTCAATTAGGCCATGCCCTCCCCACTCGCGATGCCTTTCTGCCCTTGCCTTGGCAGACACGTGTGTGCTCAAGAACTGTGGGGCTAACGGCAAGTGTGTGAGGACCCCTGCAGGAGTGGCGTCCTGTGTGTGTGCCACTGGCTTCGTGCTGCAGCCTGATGGCGTCACTTGCACCGAAGCCAGTATGTGCCATGCCATATGCCATCTCCTCTGCATCTGCCATATAGGCAATGCCTTGCCCTATGCAATTTGCCATGCCTTGCCCTATGCAATTTGCCATGCCTTGCCCTATGCAATTTGCCATGTCTTGCCTGCCCTATGCAATTTGCCATGCCTTGCCCTAAGCAATTTTGCCATGCCTTGCCTGCCCTATGCAATTTGCCATGCCTTGCCCTATGCAATTTGCCATGCCTTGCCCTATGCAATTTGCCATGCCTTGCCCTATGCAATTTGCCATGCATTGCCTGCCCTATGCAATTTGCCATGCCTTGCCCTATGCAATTTGCCATGCCTTGCCTGCCCTATGCAATTTGCCATGCCTTGCCCTATGCAATTTGCCATGCCTTGCCTGCCCTATGCAATTTGCCTTGCCTTGACCTATGCAATTTGCCATGCCTTGCCCTATGCAATTTGCCATGCCTTGCCCTATGCAATTTGCCATGCCTTGTCCTATGCAATTGCCATCCCTTGTCCTATGCAATTTGCCATGCGTTGCGTTGTTCTATGTGACGTGCCACGCATGGTGCTATGGAATGTGCCATGCCTCTAGCATGTGGCGGTAACTCCTGCAGTTCACACTTTTCTCAAGCCTCCTTGTGCATCCCTTTTTCAATGCCTCGTTTCTTGTTCAATCCGCCCCCTGCGCCTCCTGCCTGAATCTACTTTTTGTTCTATTCTATCTCAGCTTGGTTTCACATTATGCTCATCGTTTTGCTAACGGTCTTTCACCCCCAAATCCTTCCCAGTTGGGTGCGAAGGCGTTGTGTGTACTTACGATGGTGCGGACTATGGCCAGATGGCAAACTGCGAGATATCACCTGTCACAGGGAAACCCTTTTGTGTTTGCGATTTCTGGATGAACGAATATATGGCACGAGACATGAACTGTGTTGGTAAGTTCCACGCGTTTAAGGTTTGCTTGTTGAGGAGTCAATGCTGAGGAGTCAATGCTGAGGAGTCAATGCTGGGTCAATGCTGATTGACCCACTGTACTGCCATCTCTCGTTTTCTAAACCCCCACCCATAACTTTCGTTCCATCCTGATCAACCTCTTACCTTCCATCAGTGACACCCCCCCTGCCTGCGGTGTTGCCTGCCGTGTTGCCTGCGGTGTTGCCTGCGGTGTTGCCTGCGGTGTTGCCTGCGGTGTTGCCTGCGGCGTTGACTGCCGCGTTGACTGCCGTGCTGACTGCCGTGCTGACTGCCGTGTTGACTGCCGTGTTGACTGCCGTGTTGACTGCCGTGTTGACTGCCGTGTTGACTGCCGTGTTGGCTGCCGCCGTGTTGCCTGCCGTGGGATTGGCACGCAGCTGTGTTAGGAGATGTTGCTAAAAATGCATGCTGCAATATGCTTGCTCTTGCATGTTGTTGCCTCCTTAAAAGTGTCTCCGTGCTCTCCCTCCCTCTCCCTCCCTCTACCTCTCCCTCTCCCTCTCCCTTTCCCTCTCCCACCCCCCCTCCCCGTCTCTCAACCTTTTACCTTTCAACAGTGACGTCCCCCCCACCCTGATCTCTCCTGCGGCGGCCTACCCTCATCAGCCACTCCCATCATCCCATCAGCTAGACGTCCAGCTGTTTTGTCTTGCAGAATAAGGCACAGCAGGCCAAGGGGCTGAAGGCCTGAATAGCGTGCCTCAGGACCGCCCCTGCTTGAGAGCCTCTACAAGGGAGAATGGAGAGGAGGGCTTTGACCTGTGTGCTGCTTTGTTCTTTGCTAGTTTTTTTTTTTTTTGGGTTGTTTACAGCTGTAGTAGGTCTCAATAAGTACCCCTTAGAGTACATGACTAGCTAGAATTGTTGTGCTCCTATTTGTAGTAACTGTTTGCTTTGTTTTTCTCAATGGATTGGTGTTCCTGATTCACGAACGAGAGTGACCAGCAGCATTGTAGTTCCTGTCGTTTAACTACTGTAATGACTGAATGGCTTGCCTTTCCCATTTTGCCTCGTTTATTTGCACACTAATGCATGCAGTGTACACACTCTCTCATCGTTACCGTGCGTGTGAGCCATGGATGCTTAGGATCTCAGCCTAGAAACGGCAACTTCTGAGGCCCCTCAAAACCTGGTCTGCCTCACACGTTACGTTACGTTACGTTACGTTACACATCACAGCAGAAGCTCTAGCGGGCCCCGGCAGGCAGTGTTAGCGCTGAGAGCGCTGGTGGATTCTGGAAAGTGGAGATTTTTGGAGCACCTCCAACACCAACCTGCCTCACACATTACGTTACATTGCGTCACACATCACAGCAGCAGCTCCATCTGGCCCTGTCAGGCAGCGTTGGCGCTGAGAGGTGGCAGTTTCGGGAAAGCAGCGCCTTTTGAGGCACCTCCAACACCAACCTCCCTCACATGTTACGTTACACATCACAGCAGCAACTCCAGCGGGCCCTGGCAGGCAGCGTTAGCGCTGAGAGCGCTGGTAACTTCGAGGAAGCGTCGCGGCGGCAGGCAGCGTCACGGCGAGGCGTCGGGCGGCAGCGTGGTGGTCTGCCACGTGGCACAGCAGGGCCTGCAGGTGGCGCGCGTCCCTCTCCCGGGCTAGCTCCTGAGGGGAAGGGGGAGGCAAGGGAAGCAGGGACGGAGTGGATTAGTGAGTTGGAGTAAAGAAAGCAACCCCAGCACAGCAGGGCCTGCAGGTGGCACGCGTCCCTCTCCCGGACAAGCTCCTGGGGGGACGAGGAAGATAGGGAATGCGGCGGGAAAAGAAAAACTTGAGCTGGCTTGCGAAGCATCAAGGCAGCCGGCTGCTCCGCCACGTGGCACAGCAGGGCCTGCATGTGCCGTGCGTCCCTCTCCCGCGCGAGGTCCTGAGGGGAAAGGGGAGAAAAGGCAAGGAGGAGGGGATTCCTGAGTTGACTAAGAAAGCATCTCTGGCACAGCAGTGCCTGCAGGTGCCGCGCGTCCCTCTCCCGGGCGAGCTCCTGAGGGGAAGAGGGGAGGGTAGGGAAAGGAGTGAGGGGGAACACAAGGGAGGCATGGAGGGCGTGTGCGAAGGGGGAGATATGCTACATACGGGGAAGGGGGGGAGAGAGAGGAAGAGGGTGGAGTTTGAGGTGAATGCATATGATTATGAAGTGAAGCGTGCTTGGCTCTGACCTGCCCCAAACTGTCGGGGTGAGAGCGACTTGGTGTGAGTGACTTGGTGTGAGCGACTTGGTGTGAGCGACTTGGTGTGAATGACTTGGTGTGAGTGACTTGGTGTGAGTGACGGGGTGCGAGTGACGGGGTGGGACTGACTGGGACTGACCTGCATGGTGTGGAAGCCGCTGGCTGCTTCTTCCAGCAACGGCAGCACTGCTGGCGCACTGCCTGGCACCGCTGCATGCAGTGGTGGTGGCAAGCGAGGTGGGTGCAGGGGAGGTGGGTGACAGAAGTTGTAAGGTTAGCACATGGGGAACAGGACGATGAAGCTGTACATGGGTGCGTGGCGACATGGGTGCGTGGAGATATGGGTGCGTGGAGATATGGGTGCGTGGAGATATGGGTGCGTGGAGATATGGGTGCGTGGCGACATGGGGGCGTGGCGACATGGGGGCGTGGCGACATGGGTGCGTGGCGACATGGGTGTATAATGACATGGGTGCATGGAGACATGGGTGTATAATGACATGGGTGCATGGAGACATGGGTGTATAATGACATAGGAGCATGAAATGAAATCATATTAGCGAGAGTAGGAAGAATGACAAGCAGCGGTGAACGCACCAGCAGGAGGGAGCAAGGCGAGGTGGCACTGGGCAATGAGCATGAGGGTGCGGCAGCGCATGGAGAGACCTGACTGCCCCAGCAGCACCGGCAGACACACCCCATCCAGCAACCACAGCGCTTGCGCCGCACACTCCCGCCCACTGCTGCTCCTCTCGCCCCCTCCCCCATCGCCCCCTGCAGCACCGCCCACCCTCTCATCGGCCCCTGCAGCACCATAACCCCCCCCAGCACGAATAGGGCTGCAAGACGGGGGTGCCAGGGCGAGCGTGGCCTCGGCGGCAGTGAGGGTGGCGGTGGCCTGCAGCAGCAGCGCGTGCAGGCGAGCTGCCAGTGACGCGCATGCCAGCGCGTGTGGGAGTGCCGCTGCTGGTGACCCGGCTTTCTGGTAGGCATGGACATGGACAGCGGGGGGGTGAGGAGAAAAAGGGAGCGAGAGGGCAGGTGTGAGGGTGGAGCAACAGGGTATGCAGGCGGGCTGCCAGCGACGCACATGCCAGGGCATATGGCAAGGCAAGGCCGCTGCTGGTGACCCCACTCTCTGGGAGGCAGAGGCAGTGGGGAAAGCGAGGAGAACGAGGGGGAAATGGGGGATGCGGGATGGAGGCTTGAATGAGTGCAACGAGGGTGAAACACGGAGGAGTTGGAGTTCAGGGTTGGATGCAGCAGGATTGAATGCAGCAGGCTTGGGACGGAAAAATCAGGGCCGGATGCAGCGGCTCATAAGTTAATCCTCCACCCCAGCATCGACCCACAGCAGCGTCAGGTGCCTGGCCACGTGCCTCACGAAATCAGATGTCTGCCCAGGTGCCTCAGAAAATCAGGTGTCTAATCATTGCATCAGATGCTGGACTAGCAAGCATATGTTTCACCAGGTGTCCCCCAGGTGGCTCCCCAAGTGCCTCAGGTGGCTCCCCAGGTGCCTCAGGTGGCTCCCCAGGTGCCTCAGGTGGCTCACCAGGTGCCTCAAGTGGCTCCCCAGGTGCCTCAGGTGGCTCACCAGGTGCCTCAGGTGGCTCACCAGGTGCCTCAGGTGGCTCACCAGGTGCCTCAGGTGACTCCCCAGGTGCCTCAGGTGTCTCACCAGGTGTAGCTCCGCCAAGAGCAGCAGGCACCGTGCATGGTACAGCTGGCGGTTGTGCTGACAGCACGCCGTGAAGAGCACCTTGGCTGCTGATGCCGCCTGGGGGAAGGGAAAAAAAAGGGGGTGAGCTGTGATGATGGAGGATTGGACGAAATGGGAAGGGGGAGGGTAGAGGAGGGAACAATGGAAGGCCGGGAGACGAGAAGGCGAGGATGACACGAGGGGAAGGGGCCGCGAGGGAACAGGCGAGGGCATTCGTGGGGAGTGTGGAAGCAAGAATGTATGGAGGGAAAGATGCAGCATTCTGTGGGCATGATTGGCGGGAAGTAGGGAGAGGGAAGGAGGAGGGTGAGGGAGCAGCCCTGGGGACGCCCAGATGCACTTCGGCGGCTGAAGAAAGAGAGATGGGGTTGGGAGAAGAGAGATGGGGTTGGGAGAAGGGAGACGGGAATTGGCGAAGGGAGATGGGATTGGGCGGGCATTGGCACCTGGGGAAAGCGCGAGGCAGCAACGAGGGTGTGCACATGGCGGCACGCCGCCTCCAACTCCAAGTCCACCTCCGTGCCCCCCTGCCCTGCTCCGTGCCCTGTTCCCTGTTCGTCGTTGTTAGAGAGGCCATGGCGTGTGGCAATGGCTGCGAGCTGCTCACACACATGCAGTGCTTGGGATGTGCGGCCACTGGATGGGGGAGGGAGGGGGAGAGAACGGAGGGATGGGATGAGCGATGAGGGTGGGGCAGGTGGATGGAAATGGTGGGTAGCAAGCACTTAGGACATACAGTGGTGGAAGGAGAAGAGTGCACAAGAAAAATACGGCGGTTGATACGCAGGGGCCGCTGTGTGTGAGGGGCAACAGGTGAGTGAGAGGGAGATGCCGTGACATGCACGGCACAGTGCAACAAGTGAGTGAGCATCTGCCACACAGTGGACCAGTCACTAGTGCGTGTGAACTGGCCTTGTGGGTGGCTTACGTGGCAAGGCAGAGGTCGTGAGTCAGCTCCAGCTCAGCAATGCGGAGGGAGGGCGAGGAGGAGAGCAGCGGATGCTGCTGCAGGCGATGCAGGAGAGGCAGCGCCGCTGGTGGGGAGGGAGGGGGGTTGGGAGGGAAAAGGGGGAAGCGCGAGGAGGGGTTCAGAACAACGGGTTAGGGAATGATGGGTGTGCGAGGCTGGCTAGAGTGTGCTTGTGACACTTGTACCACCACAGCAGTGCTTTGCTCCTCTTACCCTTACCCTGCGACCCTGAACCCACCTGAAGCCCACCTGAAACCCACCCGAGGCCCACCTCCCCTACCTGGGGCCCACCTGCGGCGCCAGAGTGTGCAGCTCTGTGTCGCAGCAGCTTGACTGCTGATGCTGCTAGGTCGTCCGCACTGCCGGGAGAAAGAGAGAATAAGCGAGTGGGAGGAGTGTTGCAGTGAGTGAGGGTGTGTGGGGTGTGCCAAATAGTACTCAAGGCTGAAAGGAGGGGAGGGGAGATAAGTTAATGTGTGGCAGGCATTGAAGCAGATGGTTGTGGAGAGACTGATGCACGAGTGTAGTGTGGTGGGAAAGGCTTGAGATGAGAGGCATGCTTACGTGGCAGCATCAGAGTAGCAGAGCAGATGAAGTGCTGCGCTGGCACTCGCCATGGTGGGGCTGACGTGGAAGCAGGGGAGGAGGGAGGAATGGAGAGAAATAGGTAAGCGGCACAATGGGCTGGGCATGCAAGAATGACGATAATGAACGGTGCAGATGGGATCAGTATGGGTGCACTGCATGGCCATGACCAAACAAACACGACTCACTCACATCCCCCCACACACCACTATCCCCTTGCACACAACTCATCTCTCACGTCCACTCACCACCCACCACTCACCACCCACCACTCACCACCCACCACTCGCCACCCACCACTCACCACCCACCACTCGCCACCCACTCCCGACCCCCCACCACTCACCCCCACCACCCTCCACCACTCACCACCCATACACCTCCCATGCAGCGGCCCTCACGCCCTGCCCCGCCCCCACCAGCCGCACCACAGCAGCTGGGGGCGGGGCCAGCCTCCCTGCCGCCGAAACAGAAAAAGTTGTGTAATTAAAAAACAAACCTGACTCAACCCCTGTCCACCACTCACCACCCATACACCTCCCATGCAGCGGCCCTCACGCCCTGCCCCGCCCCCACCAGCCGCACCACAGCAGCAGGGGGCGGCGCCAGCCTCCCCGCTGCTGCTGCCGCCGCCGCCGCTGCCGCCGCCGCCGAGCCTGCAGGCTGAGGTCCGGCGAAGGTCTGGCCGGAGCTGAAGAGAGCCGCGGCAGTGGAGGCGGAGGAGAGAGGGGCTGAGAGGGCTAGGCTGGAAGAGAGGCTGAGAGCTGCTGCTGCCGCTGCTGCTGCCACTGCGGAGGAGGAGGAGGCGGAGGCGAGGTGCAGGGAGGGGAGGGAGAGAGGGGCGGATGGGGGGAAGGCGAGGGGGGAGAGTGCGGAGGGCAGGAGGATGGCTGAGGTGCAGGCGTCATTGAAGAGCTGGGCTCCCAGTCGCAGGTGCTGGTAGGGGGGGAAAGGCGGGGAGAGGGAGAGGCGGAGGGAAAGGCGGAGAGGGAGGGGGAGGGGGAAGGGGAGGGGGAGGGGGAAGCACCAGTGGGAGGTTAGCTGTACTGTGAGAGGATTTAGAGATTGGATGAGCCAAGGGAGAGGAGAAAAGGGAGAACGCAAAATGAATTCAGGAAGAGGTCTTCCACGAAACTCCTTTCTTTCGTACGAATATTCTATCCTTTACTTGAGCTAATTTAGACTCCAGACAAGGAGTGGAGAGAGTGGCTTACGTGGCAGACAAGGAGGGGGGACGAGGTGAAGTCAGATGGAGGGAGCGAGAGGGAGGTGGTGGCGTGCAGTGCTCTCCCGTCCGTTACATGCTGCTCAGAGGAGTACAAGGGGGTGCAGATGGGCAGGCGGACGGGGGTCGACAGAAGGTAGAGATGGAGTGGGGAGGAAGGAGGGGGGGATCAGCAAATATAGAAGGAGCAGGCATAGGCATATAAGAAATCAGTGACAGTCACATCAGCATAAATGATACAGCACTCCAGATACTTGGTTATAGAACATAAGTATAAAGACAGCGCGAAAATCTTGTCGCTTCGATGCTGCCGCAATCACGTTGACTCCGAGTGCTGATAACACAACCCCTAAAACTCCCCTAAGCTCTGAGCCCTACAAAAACCCTGCTCATCACCTCGACGTTGTAGTGTGTGAGCAGCAACTGGGATGGAAAACACATGAGGGCAGCCAGGGGCACGTGAGATCAGAGGCACGTGAGAGAAGAAGCACAACCACATCAGTGCTGAGTACCTGTTACAATCCCCCAGCAGCCCTCATCATTACCTCGACGCTGTAGCGAGTGAGCAGCAACTGGATGGCAAAGACGAGGCGTGGCAGTCTCAGCTGGGCGGCGCGCACCAGGCAGCGCTGCAGCAGCGCACACACCTGCTGCTGCACCCCCCCACCCACTGCCGCCCCTCCTCCCCCCTCCCCGTCCACGCCCCCATGCGCCCCTTTTTCTCCCCCCAACTTCCCCTCGCCTCCCACCCGCCCCTTCTTCCCTCCGCTGCCCCCCCCACCCCGCCACACTCCCCCCTCCAGGAGTGTGGGTTGTTGAAGTGAGCTGGGGGCTCCCAGCACTGCCAGCTGGCGGGGTGCGTCTGACGTGGCAGTCTGTGATAGGAGGTGGCAGATGGCTGTGAGGGCGTGCACCAAGCACACGTCATCACTCTCCTGTGTGGACACGCAGGGATGCGGGGTGGTGACGAATGGGGAGGGTAGGGGAGGGAGAAGGAAGAAGGGAAGATGGGATGAGGAGAGTGCATGGGGGATGGACAAGATGGATAAGTGCTCAGGGTTCGGTTCAGCCTATCTTTTCTTCAACCCATCCTTTGTTATACGCTCTATTATATTGAAAGTGATCTACCAACATAATTTGTGATAAGAAAAGACGTTTAATGACAACAAGGAATGGAGTTTTGCTTGTTTGGAGTCTGTGCAAACTCAGCGGGTTCGACGCGGTGCAGGCACGGCACTGTGACTTGATCCGTCAGAAGGACTGGAAACAAAGTTAGTTACTCGATTTGGTATTACTGTGCTCACGTATACCGTCATACCATTCAAAAAGAAGGTTCTCTGTTCCAATTTATGCATGCATGCGCCTCACCTGCTGTGCCATGCCTGCGCCTCACCTGCTGTGCCATGCCTGCAACTCACCTGCTGTGCCATGTGAACTGTCTCAATTAAGGCCTGGCATGGTAGGGCGCAGGGGCCATGTGGACGGGGGCGGAAGAGGAAATAAGGTGCGGATTAGAGTACACATACTGCCATGCCGCATGTGCCACACATACTGCCATGCCGCATGTGCCACACATACTGCCATGCCGCATGTGCCACACATACTGCCATGCCGCATGTGCCACACATACTGCCATGCCGCATGTGCCACACATACTGCCATGCCGCATGTGCCACACATACTGCCATGCCGCATGTGCCACACATACTGCCATGCCGCATGTGCCACACATACTGCCATGCCGCATGTGCCACACATACTGCCATGCCGCATGTGCCACACATACTGCCATGCCGCATGTGCCACACATACTGCCATGCCGCATGTGCCACACATACTGCCATGCCGCATGTGCCACACATACTGCCATGCCGCATGTGCCACACATACTGCCATGCCGCATGTGCCACACATACTGCCATGCCGCATGTACCACACATACTGCCATGCCGCATGTGCCACACATACTGCCATGCCGCATGTGCCACACATACTGCCATGACATGCCGCATGTGCCACACATACTGCCATGACATGCCGCATGTGCCACACATACTGCCATGACATGCCGCATGTGCCACACATACTGCCATGCCATCCCGTATGTGCCACACATACTCCCATGATCCCATGTTGCCGCATGTGGCACACATACTCCCATGTTACGCCGCATGTGCCACACATACTGCCATGCCGCATGTGCCACACATACTGCCATGCCATGCCGCACGTGCCACACAAGCATGCCCCATGGCATGCTGCACGCACCACATACACAAACACACATACCCCCATGGCATGCTGCACGCACCACATACACAAACACACATACCCCCATGGCATGCTGCACGCACCACATACACAAACACACATACCCCCATGGCATGCTGCACGCACCACATACACAAACACACATACCCCCATGGCATGCTGCACGCACCACATACACAAACACACATACCCCCATGGCATGCTGCATGCACCACATACACAAACACACATACCCCCATGGCATGCTGCACGCACCACATACACAAACACACATACCCCCATGGCATGCTGCATGCACCACATACACAAACACACATACCCCCATGGCATGCTGCACGCACCACATACACAAACACACATACCCCCATGGCATGCTGCATGCACCACATACACAAACACACATACCCCCATGGCGTGCTGCACGCACCACATACACAAACACACATACCCCCATGGCATGCTGCATGCACCACATACACAAACACACATACCCCCATGGCATGCTGCATGCACCACATACACAAACGCACATACCTTAGTTGGAGCATACGCATTTCGCGTTTCATACGCTAGAGTTTATCCGCTAGCGTATAAACGCCGAACGCTTCTTGGGAGGGGTCCGGTACGCAGTGAAAACGCAGGCCCGGGCACATAAAAAAATTCGCCGGGCAGTTTGTTAGGTTAAGAGGGGGGAATGGGCGAGGTGCAAAGCACGAAGTTGGTGCCCACGGTCTAGTCATACTCGTCGATACGATCGAGGTAGGTAAAAACGAGGTAAAAAAATCCAAACGATGAACATCGAATGGAGATAGAGCCGCATTTCTGCTAGGAGAGGTGAGTCTGATTGGATCCAATTCCTCCACTCGACATTGAGTGGAAGGAATTCGGATTGAATGGGATGGAGTGGGTTGCGCAATGGTATACGGAAAGGGGTTGTTGTGGATCTGCTTCGAAATTCAATTTCGAAGTTGAGATCCCGAATGTGCGATGCCCTAATTTCCAGTTCGCCATGTCGCTAGCTCAAACCCAACTTCTGATTTTTTTTTCCCGGGCTGCCCGAGCGTTTTTCTGCGTTTCCACACCAAAAACGCAGCGGTCGTTTTTTTAGCGCGTACAAACGCAAAACGCAAAAAGATTCGAGCGTATACTCCAACTAAGACACATACCCCCATGGCATGCTGCATGCACCACATACACAAACACACATACCCCCATGGCATGCTGCATGCACCACATACACAAACACACATACCCCCATGGCGTGCTGCACGCACCACATACACAAAAACACATACCCCCATGGCATGCTGCACGCACCACATACACAAAAACACATACCCCCATGGCATGCTGCACGCACCACATACACAAACACACATACCCCCATGGCGTGCTGCACGTGCCCGTATCGTGCATGCATGCCCCCCTCCACCAGCAGCCCCGCCTGGAATCGCCCCGCCCACCAGTCCGATGCTGCCCGCCCGCCCACAGCCGCCATGCCCGCACTGTGTGGGCGAGTGAGGGGGAAGGGGGGGGAAAGAGGGACGGGGGAGAGTGAAGAGGAGACAAGGGAGTGAGGCAGGTAAGGGGTCAGGGAGGGGAGTCGGGGGAGAGGGGTTGGAGAGAGGCTGCGTATGACGATCACAAATTCTCACTTTCATGCATCCTCACAGGCATTCATATGCAACCTTGTCCCACACATTCCCTTTCCCTCACCCACACAATCCTGTCACTGCCTGCTGAACAGGGTTCCTTCGAGTCACCTGAAAAACCACCCCACACACAACGGCACCAACCTAATCGGGGCGTGGAGATCAAAGAGCAGCCAAGGTGAAGCTCAGTTCTATCTCCTCACCTTCCAACGTCGGCTCTAGTTCGAAGTACCACCCCAAGACAAACCAGCTCAGGTTTGAGCCGCTTGGCCTGTCTACCAGACGAGCGCGACTGAGGCCAGCTTGGATACGGCCCTTGCTAGTGCCTAGTTCCCTCACTTCATACTCACACGTGCCCCCGAACCATGTGCACGAGCTAAATACCCAAGGCCAACCATCCCATGCGTTCTATCTACACACCTGGAGCACTGCAAGCAAACACATAACCCTGCACCCTGGGGCACCTGTAATCGAAGTAGCGGTGCAGCGAGGAGAGGGAGTCGGAGAGATGGCGCGAGGCGAGCGACTCGTGATGCTGCCACAGATGCACCTGATGCCATGCACACATGTGATGCCGTGATGCCATGCCATGTCATGCCATACATGCCATACCATGCCATGCCATACCATGCCATACCATGCCATGCCATGCCATGCAATGCCATGCAATGCCATGCAATGCCATGCAATGCCATGCAATGCCATGCAATGCCATGCAATGCCATGCGAGGCCATACAATGACATGCAGGAAGTGGTTGGGGGACGGATGGGATCAAAACTTGAACATGGATTGGGCAGCGGATATGGGGATCTTGATGCAAAGCTTCCACATGCAACCTAACAGTATGCATCAGGCCATGCATTCATTTCAGCCTGCCATCGCATTGAACCTGCCATGGATGCTGCGACCACGCACCTTGGGCGGCAGGTCATGAGCATGAGCCAATGCGCGCTGGTCATCTGCATGTGCGCCATCCACAGCGCCGCCACTCCCCTCGCCTTCCCTTCCTTGCTCGCTCCTTGGGCCTGCTGCTGCTGCCCCCCGCCTGTTGTGCACAACAGAGTGAGGAGAGAGGGATGGTGCGAGTGACAAGAGGGATGCAGGAGGTGGGAGGGAAGAGAGTGGGGAAAGGAATAAAAGAAGTAGTGAGCTCTGGTACCTAGCAAAGCGATAGTCTCCCCTCACCTAGCAAAGCGATAGTCTCCCCTCACCTAGCAAAGCGATAGTCTCCCCTCACCTAGCAAAGCGATAGTCTCCCCTCACCTAGCAAAGCGATAGTCTCCCCTCACCTAGCAAAGCGATAGTCTCCCCTCACCTAGCAAAGCGATAGTCTCCCCTCACCTAGCAAAGCGATAGTCTCCCCTCACCTAGCAAAGCGATAGTCTCCCCTCACCTAGCAAAGCGATAGTCTCCCCTCACCTAGCAAAGCGATAGTCTCCCCTCACCTAGCAAAGCGATAGTCTCCCCTCACCTAGCAAAGCGATAGTCTCCCCTCACCTAGCAAAGCGATAGTCTCCCCTCACCTAGCAAAGCGATAGTCTCCCCTCACCTAGCAAAGCGATAGTCTCCCCTCACCTAGCAAAGCGATAGTCTCCCCTCACCTGCTCGCCTGCTCTATCCGGCAGTCAAGGTACTCTGCCAGCCGCCCTGCTTCCCGCAGAAACTGCTTCTGCATGCCGCTGACTCCCCTCTGCTTCCGCCTCCATCTTCCCTGCCCCTCTCCACTCTCCCGCCCCTCCTCCCCTGCTTCTCCCTCCACCCCCACCATCCCTCCACTGCTCCTTCTCCCCGCTCCTTCCCCCCACAATCCCCCATCATCACCCCCAGCTTGCATCAGCGCATCATCCCCCTGCCCTTCCCCTCTCCCCCCTCTCCCCCTTCGCCCCAGCACCTCCCACTCAAACTCCTCCTCCCATGCTGCCCTGTCCTCCCCCGCCCCCGTCCATGCCCTTGCTCCTCCCCCACCCCTTCCACCATCCCACCCAATCACCCCCCCTGCTGCTTCCCTTCTGCTCTCACGCGTGCCCTCGCGGGTGGTTCTTCTGCGGTGTGTGACTGTATCAAAGGCCAGCGGTTCCCCTCCCTCTATGCCCACTCCTTCGCCCCCATCCACTCCCCCCTCCACCCCCACGTCTACCTCCATTTCCTCCCCTCCATCATTCCCCCTCCCCTCCCCTGACCCCCACTCCCCATGTGATGCCTCCCCTGTGCTCTCCCGCCTGCCCGCCGCCTGCTCATCCATGCTCCCCATCTCCGTGCTGCCGGTGCTGGCAGAGCAGCCCGCGTGGTGGAGGTACTCGTGAATGTCGCCCAGCACATCACACACCGCCTGCCATGCGCCATATGCCATGTGCCATGTATGCCATGCAATACAAGGGAAGAGTGAACGTTAAGAGTAATGAGTGCATGTTGCATGTGCGTGCATGTGTGTGACAGAGCAGCCTGCGTGGAGCAGGTACTCGTGAATGTCGCCCAGCACATCACACACCGCCTGCCATGCGCCATATGCCATGTGCCATGTATGCCATGCAATACAAGGGAAGAGTGAACGTTAAGAGTAATGAGTGCATGTTGCATGTACGTGCATGTGTGTGACAGAGCAGCCTGCGTGGAGCAGGTACTCGTGAATGTTGGCGAGCACATCACACACCGCCTGCCATGTCCCACGCACCATGCGCCATGCGTCGTGCGCCATGCGCTGTGTGCCATGCGCTGTGTGCCATGCGCTGTGTGCCATATGCCATGCGCCATGTGCCATGCTTGCCTTGTGCATGGAAACAGTAATGATTAGAAAATGTGCATCTGTGGAATGCATTGTAGATACGTGCAAGTTGCATGTGCGCATGTGGGCACGTGCACATGTGTGCAGAAGCGCACCTGGAAGGGCAGGAGGTGGAAGGAGAGCAGCAGGGAGCGCAGGAACAGGCCAAGCGCACTGCCACGAGTGACAGGCTGGCAGGCGGGCGACGCTGCTGCTGCTGCCCGGTGGCGCGGAGGGGAGGTGCTGCGCGCCACACACGCTGCAGCATGGTCGTGAGGGGGAGTGGTGGGGCATGTGGGAACAGCAGGCAGGTGTGGGAGGTGACGGGCGGCAGAGTGGGATACAAGAGGAGGGGAGAAGATGGAGCAGAAGCCAGAAGGAGAGCAAGAAATGAGTTGGCAGCACTGCTCGTGTGTGTTCCATGCATGCACACGGCCATGCATGCATGCAGATATTCATGCACGTGAGGGGGACATTCCAGCGCACTACTCTGAGCGCCACTCACAGTGCAAGGAGGCGAAGAGGGAAAAGAGGTCATCTGGGGATTGCAGCGCCTGCAGCTGCCGCACCAGCACCCCACCCACATCACTCCACCCCTCGTCCCCTTCCTCCGCTCCCTCCGCGTCCCCCTCAGCTTGTGCCCTTGCACCCCGGCCCCCCTCTCTCCCCTCTCCTCCCTGCTCCCTGCGTGCCTCCGCCTCTCCCCCAGCTGTTCCCCCCCCCACCTCTGCTGTCAGTCGCAGCAGCAGCGCGCTCAGAGGAGGCTCGTGCCATGAGTGCACTGCCTGGGTGGGGTACGGTGATTGGGGGTGATGAGGGGTGATGGGAGGTGAAGGGGGTGGTAGTGACGGGTGATGAGGGATGGAGTGAGGGGACGTATGTCAATGGGAGTCACAGGGATAATGGGGCGAAGAAGGGCGAAGAAGGGCGAAGAGTAACGGTGCTTCTCGCAGCCGTGGTGGAGCGAGTAGGATGGGTGTGGCAAGGCAAGGGGCGGTGGGCGTGGCAAGCGAGGGAAGGCAATGATGGGGAGGGGAGGGGGGCGTTGAGCAGGACAACACAGGGGGAGCAGAGAGCAACGGAGTGGAAGGGTCAAGGATCACAGTAAGCAGAACTACTTCTTCCTCCCTCCCATTCCTGTATGTATGCACGCTGCTATATCGTGCCTGCCTGTCATTTTCTCTTCCCTCACCATCTGCCGCCGCACTGCTCCATTCCCAGCACCACTGAATCTCCGCCCTCCCTTCTGCTCCGCCTCCTCCCCACCACTGAACACTCTTCCCGTCGCCCCATTCCCGCCCACTGCGTTGCCACTGCTACGCGCATCGGCCTGCTAACCCTGAAGCTACCGCCGGCCACAGCACAGCAACTTACCCACAGCGCATCTCTCATCTTTCCCCTCCCCACTCCCTCCTCCCCCCACCACCCAGTACGGAACTTCCCCTCCAGCAGCGCACCATTTTTCCCCAGCAGCGCTCCTTTCCCCCCATCAGCGCACCTATTCCCCCCGAGCGCCTCACCCTGGTCTCGCGGAGCAGGAAGAGCGCAAGCCGCTGCCGCACGCGGCGGGGCGGCGGGGAGGGCGGGGCGGCACGCGCGGGGGAGTCGTCCGGCAGCGCGGGCGAGGCGGAGTGTGGCGGGCCCGCGAGGAGGCGCAGCAGCAGCGCGAGCGCCACTCGGTGCGGCGTCACGCTCGCCGCTGACGTCGCGACGGCGAGGGGCGCGTCGCGAGGCGGTGCGGCGGAAGGCATGGCGACGCGTGGACCCGACGAGCACGTCGCCGCGCGCCGCGTGGGTGACTCGCCGCGAAGGAATGTCGCGGTGATGCGCGCAGAGCTGGCTGCGACGAAGGCGCTATCGTGTCGCGAGGGATCGCGAAATATGATTGACTCGTGGTTCAACTATAGATTTGACCTGCTTTGGTAGCTCCTAACGAAATTCGCACGACAATAGCCGCGATCTCGCCAAAGATTCCGCTATAACCATAGCGCCATTCTTCCAATTCGCAAATGGGCCTGCAAAACGACCCCACGACAAACTGGACCTCGTTTTGAACTACGCCCTAAGAACTCCTGCTTCCGTGCCTCGAAGGCTGACCCGCCGGGATGGCAGGTTTGGGTTGGGGAAGGCAGCCCGACAAACCTCAGTAAGGCGTGGCGAAATGGGTAACATTTCGCTCATTCGAATGAGAGGGTCGTTCGAACGGCGAGGTAACACGCCCAAAGTGTCATCCTCAGGAAGTAGGAAAAGCGGATGTCACGAGATTCCCGAGGGAACGAAACGCTGCGGAGAAATCCAGAGGAAAACTGCACAGAATGCTCCAGATCTCCATCAACGTAGAGCCTTCTGAGCGTCTCGATCACGAGCAGCTTGCGGAACTGAACTGTCAGCCGCGATGTGAATTCGACATAGCAGCTGCGGAAAGCGCCTGCTGAAAGCACAGGGTAGCCAAGTGAGCATCTTCCTAGCTGCGACGCACACATTCTGCCGCAGCGACCTCAGCGTTCTCTTGCGATAGGTGATAGGGCGAATTCGCAACGGCAGCATCGGTCGCATATGTATGAGGCCGTACTACTACTATTCAGAAAGAGCACATTTCCTGTCGAGCTATTCTACACTCCTGGAAGCCGTGGTCCCAGCCATTGCACTTTGGCAAGGTTTGATTAGCTTCACTTGAGCTGCCAGTTGGTGCACGAGACGGACACTATGGACTCTAGGCGAGCTGTTATCATGAACTCCAGTAGGACCCACATTCACGATCTCCTAGACGACGTCCTCATTCGGATCTTATGGCCTTCCGCACCGTCAAGCCCGTCAAGCCCGTACATTTCCGAGAGCGATGATACTTGGAACCCTGTGGTGCCGAGGCCTACAAACCTTGCCGCTCACACCACTCCAGAAGAGCCATCATGGAGCAAGCGAAGTGACTCTCCCATGCCGACGCCTCCTGCCTCCGCGGATGCCGCTCACAACCTCTTCATCGCCTCCATCTGCCGTCGCTGGCGGCGACTCGCTCAGAGGCACGTCTCGTCGCTGCTCGTGAAGGATAGCCGCGTCGTGTCTCGCCGCGATGTGCTCAACGCGGTCGCCTGCTTTCCCCGGCTGACCCATCTGCATCTCTCGGATTTCAGCGTTGAAAGATTGGACGACGCGTTTCTAGCTGATCTCGCCGTTTCGTGCCCTGGTTTGAGGGCGCTGCATGTGGGGAAGCTGATGGAGGAAGCAGACGAGGGACGGCACATTAGAAATGGCCGCGTTATAACCGAAGCAGGCTTGGATTTCTTCTTCCGTCACTGCTCTCAACTGGAGCAGCTGTCGCTGTGCTGTCTCGAGGAAGATCTGAACCCACCAGCTTCGTTCTTCCAGCTTCAGCATCTGCGCACCCTCGTCTTGACCACCGCCTTCATCTTAAACTCTCCGAATCTCAGCTCCCTCTCGTCTCTCACTGCAGTTTCCATCGAAACCTCGTCCCTTCAATACGACCAGCTCTCCGCCCTCCTTCAACTCACCAACCTCACCCTCCTCTCCCTGCCTGCCAGATCCGCCCGCCTTCTCGCTTGCACAGCTGCCTCTCCACTCGCTCAAGCTCGGACTGTCCAATGCACACTTCAGCGTATTTTCCCTCCTGTCTCGCCATACAGGCTCCTGAAACGGCTGCAGCTTAGCCATTGCTTCAACCAGGAGCGGCTTCCCGACAATATCGGACAGCTGCTGCCGCGCCTCCAGGAGCTCAGCATCGAAAGCTGCGAATCCCTCAGCGATCTGACCGACCAGTTCACCTCGCTCACCTGCCTGGAGACCTTGACCATATCCATTTGTAGCGTATCCACTCTGCCCGCAAATTTTGGCAATCTTCCAGCCTTGAAGGCGTTGGTGCTTCATCAGCTGCCGCTTCGCACCCTCCCTGCCTCCTTCACCAGGCTCGCAACTCTTGAGACGTTTTTCCTGGTTTTGTGCGACGAGGTGGAGGAGCTTCCTGCAGGGTTTGGTCGCCTCACAGCCCTCCGGTCTCTGATCCTTGAAGGGTCACCGTCCCTGGAGCTTCCAGAAGACTCGGGGGGTTAATCTCCACACCTTTCACATCACATCGTGCGGCCTAGAGCAGCTGCCGTCGTCATTCACGCAGCTGGCGTCGCTGACCAGGCTGGAGCTGGAAGAGTGCGACATTGCTGAGCTTCCAGACGGCATGGGCGAGATGACAAACCTGCAGGAGCTCTACATTCGTCGCTGCCTTTCTCTTGAGGAGCTTCCGGATTTTGTGGCGGCGCTTGTCAGCCTTCGAGTGCTGAGGATTACAGAGTGTCACGATCTTGCATCGGTTCCAAGGAGGCTGGATGGGCTGACCAGCCTGACGCAGTTGGAGCTGCGGGACAGCTGGGTTCTGAGCGAAGTCCCTCAGGCTCTGCCACCCAGTCTCCAGGTTCTCCGGTACTCAGACAATCAGCAGGTGGAGTCTGTGCCAGATGTTTCAAGCCTTACAGGGCTCAGGGAGCTGTGCTTGCACACGGTGGATGCGGCCTGCCTTGAGGCCATCGGTGAGCATCTCTCCGGTGTGAGGCACTTGGACCTGGAGCTGGCAGAAGGAGCCGAGGAGTCTCTGTCCGCGCTGACCAGGTTGCCTCACCTCCGCACCTTGTCAGCCTCGGGGGTCCGTAGTGTGAACTCGCTGGTGGAGTGTGAGGGCTCGGGTTTGCAGGAGCTACGGGAGCTGCACATCTCCACGATGAGGGATGCTGGACTCGCAGAGCTGCCTGCTGCCATCACCACTCTCCACCACCTCACATCCATTAAGATCAACGCGGAAAACTTGTCTTCTCTTCCGCACAACTTTGGGGCATTCTCAAGGCTGCGTGAGTTGGACCTATCCCACTGCTCATCTCTCGAGCATCTCCCTCCTTCCCTCACGCAGCTTTCCTGTTTGCATGAGCTGAACGTCAGCTACACCAGCATCCATCTTCTTCCGCCTGGCTTTGCTCAGCTCAGCAGACTGAGGAGGCTTGATGTCCATGGATGCAAGGAGCTGGAGGCTCTGCCGAACGATTTATCTGAGCTTAGAATGCTCGAGCAAGTTGATACGGCTGGGTGTGACATGCTCCGGCAGTGACGTTTCTTTTGCTTGTTATGAGCTTAGATTGATAGTTATTGAAACTGTATGCAAGCACTCAGGTTCCATTACACGAATATACTACCGGTAGGTAGTTATCCAGCATCCGTTGGTATGCTGACCCGGAAACTCTTTGAAAGTTCGTGTATACTTCCCCTGACTGAAGACTACATCGCAACAGCAACACACCATCTGTACTATACACACCATGCATCATGTTACGCAAACACACATTGCCAGAATGGAGGAATGGGGTGTATGGCGTTGCAACAAACAGGATACTGCTTTGAAAGTGTTCAAGTGCTTGAAAGAAGAACACACGAACAATGTTGCTGCTGAAATATGAACGATACTACTTTTTCTTAGAATCCATAAAGTCGCTAGAGTACCGTATTCCCCGGGATATACCACCACCCTAGGGTGCTATGATAACTACACAAAAAAAAGGGGGGGGGGGGGGGGGGTCTTGTCATCGTAAAACGTTTAGTACTAAATGTACATCTGTGCCGTGGTGGTAGATTGCTGGTTGGGTGCGCAAAACCGAGGACTGGGCGATAACGTTTTGCGCGAGGGTTAGCTGCCACATTGCAAGCTCCAACAAGGCCCACTGCAGGGCCTCAGATTGGTTTCAGGGTACCCTGACCTATCAGGGCTGTATCCTAAAATATAAAACTTTATCCTGAGGCTTCAGCGCTGGATGTAATGGTTTCCCTGATTTTTCAGGGCTAAATTAAGTTTCATGATTAAGAAAGAAAATATCATCACGGTTTCACGTGCAGCTCGGTCATGGCCTAGTTGTTTGAATCTGCGAATTGTCACAGTGGAAGTATGGAGATCGATTCCCGCTTGCGTCGCGCACAGCGGACTGTGTGAACGAATGTGATTTTCTTGTTATAAGACATTTCTGTGCTACTGTTCAGTGTTACAGGTACACCTTTATCTTAATTCCTCAGTGTAGGATACAGCCTAATACTGAAAGTTCAGGGCTGTATTTTATGTTATCCTGATTTTCCAGCACTGGCACCCCAACTCTATCCTGAAATCAGGGTAATCAGGATAATTTATCCTGATATCTGAGGGCCTGGCCCACTGTCAGGCCCAGATTGGACGAAATCACAACCCCTCGTCGCACGACGAGGATTCATGCAGGTGACAATGGCGGAGCCCCCGCAACAGCCTCGGTTGCCTCGCTGGGCGGGCACGTCATTGAACCGTGAAGGAGTTGATCCTTCTTTCTGTGCAGCGGCTCCATTCCACGAACTCGAGCAATGCTCGGCAGAGTGTCCTACCACCACCTGCCTCCTCGCTCCATGTCCAGGCATGCTGGGGACGAGGAGTAGGAGGGTGGGCTTTATCTGTGTAGGTAGTTAGCATTCTGTCTAGATGGTAGTAGGCTCCTGTTGAATGTTGGAAAGACTGTGTGATGGGAGTGTTAGCGCTGTATTGCGTCATATGTAGCTTGTTTCTGCTAATGTTAACTTGTAGATGGATTATCATTGGAAACCCTGTGCTACTTAGGCAAAAACTGCAATTATACCCGTACATAACACCCCGCCCCGGGTGCTATATAGGATGCCCCCAAAAGGGGGGCGAATAGTAGAAACGAGGCCAGCTATAGCACCCCCCCCGCACAAGCCACCCGGGGGGTGCTCTATTTCGGGGGGTGGTATGTCCGGGGGAATACGGTAGCGGAAATACTCTAGGAAGATAACGACGTCCCTGCAGCGGGGCAATTGGTCACTCAGAGGTAGCACTTCTGGCCTGACACATGGTGCCATTGGGGCGGCCGAGGGAAAGCCGGACACAAGGATTCAAATTGTGTAATAATAACAAGGCATTACATTCTGTTATATAGCAAACGCATAAGGGAAACGGTTACCGTGGCGCAACTGTATAACAGTGTGAAGTAGAGAGGAATGAATCAACTAGAAAAGTGTGTGATACAAATGTGAAACCCTAGAATTGTGTACCCCTTAGTATCTACCCCGCTACAGCCTACATAGGCTAGATCATATATGTTTGACACACCCCCATAGGCAAAGTGGGGGAGAACAAGGGATCACTAGACCAGTCAGGCAAAGCAAAGCAAAGCAAGCTCAGGGTGGATCACAACGTCACCACACATTCCGAGCACAGGTTCAAGGCCACCAGGCCAGTTCACATGCAGGATTATATATAAAGGGAAACAAACAAGAGCAGGTATATATAAGACACAGTACAAGCAAGGTCAAGAAGTGAGCAAGTGAGGCCAAGTAGGCACAAGACCTAACATCGTACAAAAGCGCTGATGATCACAAGGCTGAAGTGCCTTGGTAAAGATATCAGCAGTGTTGGCCTGAGAGGCCACGTAAGCAAGGCGCAGCTGCAGCTCACGAGCAAGGAAGTAGCGAAGAGCAATGTGCTTCGTTCTGTGCTCCAGTCTGTGCTCCCGACACAAGGCCAGCATGGCCTTGTTGTCTACGTACAGAACTGGAGGAGAACGAGGCGGCTCTCCAAGGTCAGTCAGCAGGTAGGTCAGCCAGCGTAACTCCTGAGCAGCCATGGCTCCTGCGTAGATCTCAGCCTCACAGCTGGAGCTGAGAACAGAAGACGAGCGGGTAGACCGCCACAAAACCGAACTGGAGCCAAGGCTGAAGGTGTAATCCTGTGACGACCGCTGCGTAGCCAGGTCGTTGACCCAAGACGCGTCTGCGTGACCCGTGAGGACCACTCGACTCCGCCCTCCAAGCACGAGCCCCATGCCCAACGTACTGCACAAGTAGCGCAACACCCTCTTCGCTGCAGCCATGTGCTCTGGTCGGTGTCTCCCAGGAGCAACATAGCGTGCCAGAATGCTAAGAGGGTAGGACAGGCCAGGTCGAGTGCAGGTCATCAGGTACATGAGGCAGCCAACAAGCTCTGGGTACGGGCCACTCGGCTCTACGGACTCATCCGAAGGCAGAGCTGAGAGCGAGTGGCGAGTAGACAGAGGAGTGGCCTGAGGCGAGGAGTACGTGAAGTCGAAGCGCTGAAGGACCTGCTGCACCATGTGTGACCGAGTCAGGGTAATGGTGCGCCGTGCTCTGTCCCGAGTGATCTGCAAGCCAAGATAGCTGCGCAGTTCACCCAGGTCTGTGCACGTGTGTCGCTTCTGCAGCTCGGACTTCACGTAGGCGAGTCCAGCAGTGTCAGCTGTAGCAAAGACCAAGTCGTCGACGTACACGAGGATGTAGAACGGCGGCAAAGAGGTGTCGGTGCGTAGAAACAGCGACGGGTCTGCAGTAGAAGGAGCAAACCCAAGAGCCGCAAGCGTAGTCCTCAGTGTGTCGTGCCACTCACGCGGCGCCTGGCGGAGACCGTAGACTGGCCGCCGGAGGCTCCACTGGGTACCAGGAGGAAACGACCCAGTGAAGCCAGGTGGGCGGCGCAGCCAGATCTCCTCGTGCAGGCTGCCCTGCAGGAAAGCTGTGCTGAAGTCTAGAGAGTGAAGCTCGTAGTCACGGTGAGCGGCTATGTGTAGCAGCACCCGAAGAGTGGTCATCTTCGGGGTGGGAGAGAAGGTCTGAAAGTAGTCAACTCCCTGCCGCTGACTGAAGCCTCGAGCCACGTAACGCGCCTTGAAGACAGGCAGAGAACCCGGCGGCCGCTTCACCCTGAAAATCCACATGCCACTAACGATGTTCGCCCCAGGTGGGGGAACCTCGTCAACGTAGGTGCCTGTGGACTTCCAGGAAGCCATCTCTGCGTCCATGGCTGCCTGCCACTGAGAGGAGTAGGGACCCTCTATCGCCTCCGCGTAAGAGCGCGGAGTCGGGATGTCTGGTGCATCTGGGTCTCCCTCAGGGGCAAGCAGCGAGGACACAAGATGAGGTAAAGCAGCAGCAAGGCACTGGAACTCCTCCTGCCTGTCCTCAAGGACGTCCGTGCTAAGAGCACACTCACCCCCGACGGACGGAGGACAGACAGATTCAGACTCAGCAACAAGACTAGCGGCATAGTCTAGACGACAGGCAGCAGCAAAGTCAACAAGCTCAGCAACCAAGGCAGACGCAGCAGTAGACTCAAACGACGAGTCAGTGACAACAGTGGCTAACAGACGCGTGACAGTAGGGTGCGCAGCACGAAACCGGTCAGACTAAGGGACCGGAACGGCAGGCAGAGAGGACGCAGGGGGGGACGGCAGAGGAGCAGACTCCGAATCAGAGGAAGGACGACGGACTGCAAGGTGTGCGCTAGGGGCAGCCGGCTGACGCGCACTAGCGACACGACGACCGGTACAACCAGAACGAACAGGCGAGACAGGACGCGACACAGGCTCACGACGCTCAGCAAGACTACCTGTCTGCTCAGTGTAAGGAGAAGGAGCAGGGAGCGGTGAGCCAGGCGGTAACGGAAGACCAGTGGACGACGGGAGAGTAAGAACCTGACGAAGAACAGAGTCAGACGGTGGCAGTGACAACGGAGACGGCGGAACGAAGAACAGTCGTGTCGACGCAGCTGCACCAGCACCGGTAGCTCCAGCAGCTCCAGTACCTCCAGCAGCTCCAGCACCTCCAGCAGCTCCAGTGCCTCCAGCAGCTCCAGAAGCTCCAGCCTCAGAACCGGTACCTCCAGCGCCAGTAGCTCCAGAACCAGCGTCACCAGCAGCCGCACCCCCAGAACCGGCACCTGCAGTTCTAGGGTCTCCAACCGCGGAGTCTCCCGCAGCAGCACCCCCAGAACCAGCACCTCCGGTCCCAGGGTTTCCAACAGCAGTGGCTCCCGCAGCAGCACCCCCAGAACCAGCACCTCCAGTCTCAGGGTCGCCAGCCTCATTGTCTCCAGCAACGGCACCTCCAGGCGCAGCACCCCCAGCCCCAGCAGCTCCAGTACCTCCAGCAGCAGAGCCCCGGGCTCCAGCAGCGCGACGCTGACGGCGACCGTACCAGTCGTGCAGCTGCTGAGTGGTGAGAGGCACACGCGGACGAAGGCGGCCACTCCAAGTAGGCCGCGCACCAGCAGTCCCAGTGCCCTCAAGCGTCTCACCTCCAGACTCAGCACCCCCAGACTCCGCACACACAGGCTCAATACCCCTAGACACAGCACCCCCAGGCGCAGGACCTCCAGTCTCCTCACGCGCAGGCTCAGCACCCCCAGACTCAGCACCCCCAGACGCAGCACCTCCAGGAGCACCACCCCCAACAGCACCAGAGTCAACAGTAACCGGCTACAAAGGCGGCGAAGCAGGTCGCGGAGGGAACCCCGGAAGGGTCTCCAAGCGTGGTGCGCGGCGGTAGGCCGCCGGGGCGTCAGCAGCAGCGTCACCCCCCTCAGGTGGGCCAGAGGTGTCAGAAGTGACCTCCAAAGGCTCAGCCAAGGGGGGGGGGGTCTACCTGAGACACACCTGAAGGAGCAGGACCCTGAGGGGGGAGGGGGTCTACCGGGGGGGGACCTGGCGTAAGGAAGAGCGGCGGGGGGGGGAGCGGGGCAGTGCGGTAGGGGAAGAGACGGTAGTACGGAACCGACTCGTCAAACGTGACGTCCTGGGAGGACAGAACACGGCGCAAGGTGGGGTGGTAAAACTGCCAACCAGGCGCGTCAAGGGGGAAGCCAAGGAAGACGCAGGGAACAGCACGGGAGGACATCTTGTCCGCAGACAAGTCTCGGACAAAAGCCCGAGATCCCCAGACACGGAACGCAGTATCGAGATAGTGGAAGGAAAGATAGAACAGAGAAGAGGGTTTGTACTAGCAGCATGCAAGGTACATATAGGAAACCCTAATTTGGGTTGTACTCGCTATAGAGTACCCCACTGCAGGCTAGACAATTACAACATTCTGACACACCCCCATAGCCAAAGTGGGGTGTAATCAGCACAAATAACCAGTCATAGATCAAGTCCACAAATGCAAGTAAAGCTAGAGGCAGTCACAGAGGGCAAGTGAGGAGGAGGAGAGACTGTGAGGGGCGATCTGCTGCAGGCGATGGGCGAAGCTGCAGACACAACGGGCAACAGGAGCGGCGTGCACAGTGGCTACCGAGCGCACGAGGGCACCGGACTACGGGAGTATCTGGCTCCGCGGCTACGACGAGCACACACAGGAGCAACTGACCCACAGGCGACTGGCGAAGCAGGCTCGCTGGGCTACCGAAACGCGCGAGGGCATCCGGACTACTGGCGCTGCTGGCGTCACGACGGCTACCTCCACGCAACCTCCCCCGACCGTCCCACGCCCCTCTCACACACCCCCTGCTGACACCCTAGCTCCACTTCCACGACACCCCCCTTAAACCCTAAACCTCGGCTCCCACACATCCACCCCCCTCAGCGGCAGCTGCAGCAGTGGGAGACGGAGGAGGAGGAGGAGCAGGGGACGGCGCACACACACGGCACCCCCATAGCTGCCACCCCCACACTCCGCACCCCCAAACCCTAAAAACGGGCGGAACGGGGGAAGGAGCGCGGGGGACGGCGAGGGGGACGGCGCTCGGCCCCCAGAACGCGACCACGGGGCAGCGAGGGGCCGCGCGCGGCTCCCCAGGGCGGCGCGACGGGAGATCGGGGCCGCGGGGGGTCGCGCGCGGCTCCCCAGGGCGGCACGACGGGAAATCGGGGCCGCGGGGGGTCGCGCGCGGCTCCCCAGGGCGGCACGACGGGAAATCGGGGCCGCGGGGGGTCGCGCGCGGCTCCCCAGGGCGGCACGACGGGAAATCGGGGCCGCGGGGGGTCGCGCGCGGCTCCCCAGGGCGGCACGACGGGAAAACGGGGCCGCGGGGGGTCGCGTGCGGCTCCCCAGGGCGACGGGATCGCGGGGCCGCGGGCGACGGGATCGGGGGGCCGCGGGCGACGGGATCGGGGGGCCGCGGGCGTCCCCCACGGTAGGAAACCGCCGCGCGCCTCGGGGCGCACGGCGGGGAGAAAACCGCCGCACGCCCCGAGCGCGCGGCGGGATGAAAAATTGAAGGCCGCGCGCCACGGGGCGCGCGACACAGAGTAGGGCAGCGGAAGCAGCAGTGGGGCCCACAGGCCAGGAGCGTGAACGCTCTGTTACCATATCGAGATAGTGGAAGGAAAGATAGAACAGAGAAGAGGGTTTGTACTAGCAGCATGCAAGGTACATATAGGAAACCCTAATTTGGGTTGTACTCGCTATAGAGTACCCCACTGCAGGCTAGACAATTACAACATTCTGACACGCAGATGCATCGCCAACCTTCTCCATCCACAGCAGAGTGGGGGAGGTCTCCGGCAAGGAGACTCGGGGCTGAAGGTTGATCTGATGCGCCGCGTACTGGACCACAAACGACCACAGAAAATGGGGAGCAGCCGCATGGATCATGGACGTACGAGCGACATCCATGACCATGCCAATGTGGCACTCAGCAATCCCATTTTGCTGTGGAGAGGCCGGAAGCGTGAACGTCTGGCGGATGCCCCTCGCACGACAGAAGGCTCGCAGAGGGCCGGAGGAAAACTCCCCACCTCTGTCGGAGTGCAGACGCAGAACAGGAAAGTCCGAGCCGAAACTCTTCCTGAGCTGGAGACGAGCAGCGCGGATCCAGTCGATCAACACCTCAGTGACCTCATCCTTGCGGCGCAAGGGGAAGACTGAGGTGTAACGCGAGTAGTCGTCAACCACCAGCAGGAAGTAGCGCTCGTGACCCTGTCCACGGACGCGGGCTAGGCCCCACACGTCCATGTGGAGAGTCTGCAGCGGAGCCTCTGTCGGCGGAAACTCGGAGGAGTGAGGAGCGGCGCGCTGCCGCCCCTCGACGCAGGGAACGCAGGTAGGGGCAGGCCCCGGAGGGAGGGGAGGGAGAGACCGGGGGAGACTGGGGGAGACCAGAGACCAGAACACGAGAGGCCATGCCTCGGAGACGAGGCAGGGAGGGGTGACCAAGGCGGTGGTGCCAGAGAAGAGTCTCGTGGGACAGGAGGCGACACGAGCAGGGGGCAGACTCAGGACCAGACCGAGACGCCGCAGCAAACACCTGACCCGACGCAGCTACCTGACCAGGCACAGCAACCGGAGGAGACTCGGTAGTCAGGGTGTACAGGCTCGACCCCGGCCGACGAGTAAACGTGGCCAAGTGTCGGCCCGTGTCCGCACACGTGCAGTGGGTCACCCGCTGACGCGCAGGGGTGAACTGGTCAACCCCCCAATGTAGGTCAGCACCCACCACCAAGTTCGTAGAGAACGAGGGGAGGTAAAGACCCGACAGGGAGCCAGACGGGACCGCTGGACACGGTAGGACAGTGGAGTAGTGGGCAAGGACAGGACCCCCAGAGGGGTCTGCCAGGGAGACCGCAACCGGCCGACTGAGCGGCGTGAGAGTGGTGCGGTCTCGAAAGAAGGAGCGGGAAGCACCCGAGTCAAGGGTGAAAGTGTGCGACGCCTGAGCCGACGTGGTACCTGAGAGAGCAGACTCACCAGCACCTGGGGCAGCAGACTCACTAGCACCTGGGGCAGCAGACTCACTAGCACCTGGAGCAGCAGACTCACTGGCACCTAGAGCAGCTTCTGCACCGCCTGGGTCGGGCGGAACACTCAGGTAACAGTCACCGTCATCACTAGTAGACATAACATACATGGCAGCAATGATAGCATCATAGTCAAGAGCAAAGATATCAACACCAGACCTAAGCAGATCATGCCAGCGAGGGAGCTCAGTGGCGTCAGGGAACCGGAGACGCCAGGCATCTGTCAGGCGGCCGAAGCAGCGCTGAGTGGTGTGCGGGCCGCCACACTGCTCCCCAGTGCGGTCACCAGTACGGAAGAAGTACGTACAGGGACCAGCACCCCCAGGCCGCTGACGCCCAGCGTACCACTGGTGAAGCTGCTGGGGTGGCGGGGCCTCACGAGAGCGCTGCTGCTGCTGACGCTGGCCACCACCAGAGCCTCCTCGCTGCGCGGAGCCACCCCGACCAGCGCCACCGCCACCACCGCCACCGCCGCCACCGCCGCCACCGCCACCACCGCCACCACCGCCGCCGCCGCCACCGCCACCTCCACTCCCACCACCGCCGCCGCCGCTGCCTCCGCCTCCACCGCTGCCACCAGAGCCCCCGCTTCCGCCACCACTCCCACCTCCACCCCCACCCCCCCCGCCACCTCCACCGCCACCACCACCACCCCCGCCAGCTCCTCCAGCACCCTTGCCCCCCTTGCCCTTGCCGCTGCGGCGCCTCCCGCCAGGGGCAGACGCAGCACCGACCGACTCAGCGCCAAGGAGGTCGACAGCAGCAGCAGAGGCAACAGAGGGCAAAAGGGGAACGGGGGAGCACCCCTCAAAGAAAGGGGTACGAGGGTCACCCCGAGAGGCTCCTACAGCGAATATGCTCTGCTCAGCTGCAAGGAGCTCCTTCGCGAGGAGGTCAACGGTGAGAGTGGTAGGGCAGACAGCAAGGAAGTGGTCCCTGACCGAGCGAAGGGAGTCAGGGAGCCGGGTGACTAGGTAGTAGAGGGTGATGTACATGGGGGGGGGTTCTGGGCGCGGAACTCAGCAGGAAGCGCAGCGCGGTAGCGGACGTCACTAGTGCGAAGGTGCGTAATGAGGTCAGCGACTGTAGCAAAGGCAGCAAGGTCAGGGAAAAGGTACGGCAGCATGAGGCGGCTGAGAGCAGCAGAGGCAGGGGAGGAGTAGCGTGCAACGACAGCATCGTACAGGGTCTTAGCAGTCTTATACTGAGTAAAGTGCGCACGCTCAGCAGACGGCAGGTGACTACGCACAGCAAGACGGGCAGCAGCATCGCGTGTGGTCCAGCGCAAGCGAACAGTACTGTCAGCATCGGCAGCAGGGGCAGTAGAGGCACCAGACGTGAGGTCAAACAGCTAGACATCATCTTTGCTATCACACTGCAGGAAAAGGTGCATATCCTCAAGCCAGACCTCAAAGTCTATGGCACGACCCTCAGCATCGAAGGTAAGAACAGCAGGGCTAGCCATGGCAGCAGCAGTAGGGGCGCAGCTCGGCAGTGCGCTTACCAGGGGCTGGTGAGTAGAAGCCCGTAAGGGGTGGGGCAGGGCCGAGGCGCGCCAGTAGGATGGGGGGCCGCGACAAGGCGGCAGGGCAGGGCCGCAGCTCGGCTGTTACGAGCGGCGGCGGCGGCGGCTGTCACGGCAGGGGCGGCGTCGGCTGTCACGGCAGCAGCGGCGGCGGCGAACGGCGAGCGGCGAACGGAGCCTGGGGCCGGGGGCAACTGCTGCAGGGGCGGCTGCTCCAGGAGCCAGAGGCGGCTGGTGCTGGGGCGGCTGCTGCAGGGGCGGCTGCTGCAGGGGCGGCTGCTGCAGGGGCCGCGAAAGGGGGCTGCGAAAGGGGGCCGCGAAAGGGACCGCGAAGGAGGGCCGCGAAGGGCCGTGGAGGGGGGGGGCGCAAAGGGCCGCGACGGGGCCGCGACGGGGCCGCGACGGGGTCACGAAGGGGCCGCGCGGAGGTCGCGACGGGGTCGCGAAGGGGTCGCGACAGGGTCGCGACGGGGTCGCGAAGGGGTCGCGACGGGGCCGCGACGGGGTCGCGAAGGAGCCGCGACGGGGTCGCGAAGGGGCCGCTAAGGGGGGGGGCCGCTAAGGGGCAGCGAGGGGGCCGCTAAGGGGCCGCGAAGGGGCCACTAAGGGGCAGCGAAGGGGCCGCTAAGGGGCCGCGAAAGGGGCCACTAAGGGGCCGTTAAGGGGCAGGCCACGAAGGGCCGCGAAATTTCCGGGCAGGACGGGAAGCGCGTTTAGGGCAGGCTAAAAAAAACTTTCGAAGGTGGGCCCTTGGAAGAAACGGTCCCACTAGGGAACCCGCTCTATACCATGTGAAGTAGAGAGGAATGAATCAACTAGAAAAGTGTGTGATACAAATGTGAAACCCTAGAATTGTGTACCCCTTAGTATCTACCCCGCTACAGCCTACATAGGCTAGATCATATATGTTTGACAAACAGTTGCGCTGCGTCGCTTGAGTTGCCTTGTTACAGTCGAGCTGGCGAGACTATTCAGCTTCGGCAAGGGCGCGGTATCCTGCCGCGCCCGGTAGGTCAGTTTCGCGTGCAGCCCACTGTAGAATCTGACGCTTCGGTTGCCACGAGGGTCGCGACCACTGTACGCGGTTGCGCCCCTGTACCTCGATAGTCCAGTCAACACCCTCGCTATGGCGAGGCTCGTTAGCACACTTCGAACAGTGTACTTTAAGATAAAGACACACAAACATATTTCCAACACTTTTCACATACATTCCTCTCATAGCGTAACTTACACTTCTCTCATGCCCCTCACTCCTCATAATCCCCAAATATCTCATACATGCCTCCCACTCCTGTCATTCCCCTTATTCCTCCACTTGTATCCCCCCACTAATCTCTTTACACTCTGCGTATACCCCTCACTACTCATGCCCCCCACTCCCACTCCTGATATACCACCCAGTTATCTCATACTTCCAACTTCTCCCATATCCCCCACTCCCTTCCTGCACCCCACTCCTCGAATACCCTCCACTCTTCTTATTCCCGACACGCCTCTCATACAATCCATTTCTCTCATACCCACATGTCTTCTTGTTACGAATAGTAATACTTAATTATTACTGTGCACTCCTAACCGCAGCAAGAGAAGCATGCAGTATCGAGAACGAACGCGAAGAGTCAGACGGTTAGGAATTGACTCGAAGCGTCAGACAGTTACAGCACATCTGGACCGTCGGAGCAGACGGCATCGGGCAGCTGCAGGCGCGAGGGTTTTGGCGGGAACAATTTCGTAGCTGTACGCGCCGCACGGTTGGGAATGAATTTGAATAAGGGAATGTACCCCTTAGAGTACATGGCTAGCTAGGTCGTTTCGTCTTCCCTGTACTCATATTTATATTTGCTGTATTTGCATGTTTTAATTCATCTCAAGCATTTTACATTCACTCTGCTATTGAGGTCAAGGGCCCACCAACACTACCTTACTGCGTGCGAACCTTCCTGAGTAGATCCTGGTGACGATCAACTTCTGATCGTAGCATGGTATGAGAGCGGCTCGGGAATCCTTCGCACTGCCACTCCCGAAAATTACGACATTCGGAAAGTGGCGTCCGGCACACGCTCGCGTGTGAGAATGGCCGGAGGATCTGGTGGTCAGACTAATCTGACGGCTGAAGCGCAACCCAACCCGGCTGCGACAAGCGAGAACACGACAACGATCGGCACCGAAGTCCTCGCACAACATTTTCAGCGACTCACCAAAATGGAGCAAGGGCTCCAAACATTGCGGAACGGTGACGCAGGAACATCCTCGCAACCTACTCAACCGGCCCCAACTGGCCAGAACGCCGCCCCGCACACATTCTCCCTCGACACCAATGGCTCAACCCCCAAGGCTCCCCGTCCCAGTGAAGAGGCAATTCTTTCTGCTCAATCAAGGTTTCTCAGCATATCAAAAATAAAGACAAGTACCTGTTTTGACGGCAGAGACTTCTATACCTGGAGCTTCGATGTGGAGCTCCTGCTGCAGAACGCCCAAATCTTCCATTACTTCGACGGGAGCTACGCGGAGCCCGCTGAGGACACCGACGACGCCAGGACTCGCTACTACAACGAGTCTCTGATGGCGTACGGAGTCCTCCTGCGCAACATGTCGCCGGCGGAGCAGCTCAACATTCGTTCGTACAAGACATCGGCTGCTCCAGCCCTCGACGCCTGGCACCGTCTCAACGGTGTGTATCAGCCGAAGGACTCAGTCTCTTCAAGCCGGCTGCTCCAGCAGTTACTGGAGACCAAGATGACCTCAGGGGAGAAGGTCAACAGCTACATCAATCGCTGCCGGAGCCTTCGCGACCAAATCGCGAAGTTGGGAAGCTCGATTTCGGAAGAAATCTTCGTCAACATCGTGCTTCAAGGGCTCGGCCCAGAGTGGCGGCCCTGCAAGGCGCTTCTCCGACAGCAGGGGGTCATCTCGGAGGCCGCCCTTTGCGCCGCCCTTCTCGTCGAACAGAGGGATATGGATCAGCAGCGACCAGCGCCACGACGAGAAAGAGAACGGCTCGCCTTCTACGCCGACAACAACGAAGAGCGAAGACCGCGGCGCCTCTACTGCAAAATCTGCAGAACCTTCGGGCACTTGGCGGATCGATGTAAATACCGATCTCGCCCTCGCCAGACCAATCCGAGCAACTGGTCCGGCCGACAAGACGTACGAGGCGACGTGCGTCCAGCCCAGGGGTATCAACCCCCACCCGCGCGCAACCTGAACCCAGCGGTTCAGCATCAGCAGCAGCAGCCGTCATCGACTGCCCCAGTTCGCAACGTCATGAGCAACATGGCCATGACAGGCGAGTCGCGTCGTCGCCGCGTGCGCTCACCTTCACCTGAGCCAGCACCGCACCCCATTGGCGCATTCAACAACAACAACCCATTCAGTCCGCGCCACGACTTCACCGACGACGACGACCAAGACTGGAATCTTCCAGTCCCGCTGCTTGAAAGTCCCCCGCACATACCTGATATGCAGGTGGCACCACTTGATTGGCTCTCGCGCGAGCAATTTTTGAAGTTCGACACTCCGCATATCGTCACGCCGCGACTGGCGCTGCTCGCACGTGACGACAACAAGCGCTACAACACCTGGTACCTGGACAGCTGCTGTGACGCCAGCACATGGTGGGCTCGGAGCGTTACATATCCAACGCCGTCGCCACCCCCACAGTCACCTACGTCACCGTGGCCAACAACACGCGCCTGCGCGCAAGGCATCGTCGTGCTCAAAGCACGTGGAAGCCGCACGCACATCACACTTAATGATGTGCTGATCGTCCAGAACCTGCGCTTCAACCTCCTTTCCGCCGCACAGCTCATGGACTGCGGCGTTGACCTCAGCACGGATCGCGCGACGCGCGACATTCTGCTGCACTACGAATCGCGCACCTTTCCACCCCGCGGGCAGATCGGACGAGAACACTCCGAAAATGGAGTATATGTCCTGGATTTCGACATTCCCGACTGCAGCGGCGACTCGCACGAGTTAATTGATCTCGTGCCACTGCGCTTTGAGCACATCCACCGCAGGGATTGGAAACACCCTGACGGCAGGCCGTGGGTCCCGCATCATCCCCACCCACGCGAAACTGCACTGCACAACCCCGACCTAGATGGCATCTGCAGGGACTGTCACACGCCGACGACGTCAACCAGCGCCATTGCCGGCTGCGGACTCGCCGCCATCGCCGAAGCAGAACGCCATGCACCGCCAGAGGAAAGAATGTCTCAGCTCGAGCTTGAGGCAACTACTCGCCGCGTGTTTGGCGGCGACCAAAGCCCCCACGCCGGACCACCCTCACAGCGGCTCGAAAGCATTCTGCGTGGACAACGCCGCGGAACCTTGGACTCCTGTGGAGTCGCGCGCCCTTACACCCTCGAAGAATTTCTGAAGGTGTATCCCCACTGGCGCGACCCCGCGGCAAAGCTTACCGTGGAACAAGAGGAAGCACTGGCACGC